TATCTAAGGATTACAATTACCATTTGAAGTCATTAAGACTTATAATTATTGTTTTGGCCATTAAGAATTATAACTATTATTTAAGTTAATTATGTTTTTAATCTATTAATAGTTTTCGGGGCCTTAACAATAATATTCTGTTTTTTTAATGGTAAGCAATGTACATAGTTATGTTGCCTTTACATTATAGGTAATTTGGTTATACCTTAATTTTAGTCTCTGACTCAGTACAGTCTTGATTAATTATTATGTGGTAAATTGAGATTAGTATTTAGCATCCCTTAATTACATTTTTTTTACATTTATTGTAATTATTATTAATTTACATTATTAATTAATGTTATTAAGTTTAGGGGCTAATCTCATTTATTATCTTTCATAATAATTATTTATTCATGGTAATCTACTATATTTGGTACATTGGTAAGATTACTCATGTCACTTCATTTTTCATTATTATTAATAATGGTAATTAAGTGTTACCAATAACCTGTTACGTACAATTGGGCAATTCAACTAAACTCTCCGTGAAGATGGGAGATTTTGGAGGCTTTCTTCGCTATCGTTGTTAGTGCTATCGATAGATGCAGTTTGCATCATTAAGGTACGCAAATCGTTAATTACAGTTTATTATTATTGGTAACTACTGTTATAGCTGTTAACCATTTTGAACGAGTCACATTTTATCCTTAAGAATATGGAAACATTAAGATATGTATTATCATGTTTGTCATTATTAAAATGTTCATAGTGATTATAATGCTCCTTATTACTATTAATATTTTAATTAATGATAACATTATTTTTATGGTAGTAAGACATGGATTGTTTCCAAATTGATTTATGTGGCATTTATTTTCAGACTTAAGTTTTATTACATTTTACAGTTATATCCAAAAATGTTTTAAAGGTTAACAGTTTTAACTATTGTTTTCCATATTTAGTCTCTAAATTAGCATAATAATATTATTATGGCTATTTATTGCTTTTTTGGTTTATTTGCAATTTTATGTCATTAACAATACTATTAATTGAGTTTTGGAGAGTGATTTTTAATCGATTCAGAATTTTGGAAAAACATGTTTTCTAGGCATTATTGAATATTTATTCCATAATTTATTTAGTATTTGAATTATGTTTTTTTTTTAGATGTTAGTTCCCACATTTAGTTAAGTATGAATAATTGAATGCACATTTAGTGTTTTTCATACTCTTTAAATTGTTTTATGCATTCAATCACATTAAGTGCATAATATTAAGTTTAATTATGCAATTAGAATTTGTGAGATTTTTTATTTATGAATAAAACATATACTATGGCTTGATATTTGTGAATTTAGCCTGTTTCTCACAAAGTTGATTTTATGCAATTAAATTTTTTCCATGTGGGCTTATAGTTTTTAACCTTTCAAAGTATACATCTATTTTATTATTATTTAAATTTTGGATTTCTTTTGGTTAGAAGTCATACTTGTTTTGAATATTAATTGTATACTTGAGGTTATTGCTCATATTAAAATTGTTTTCAGTTATGCAATTTATTTGGAATATATGAGTTTATTATTTAATTTTATGCATATCTGTTCTAAGCATAATATTTTATTTTTAGATTATGCGATTTATTTATTATGTCTTTAGAAAGCATAGTTTGAGAATGGATTTAGTTCCTTATTAAGTTGAACTTTATGCATAAAATTAATTATGGTAGTGCCTGAATTTGAGCACGTTTAGTCCGTTAATTTAGTTCATTGATTTAAAGCCTATCCATAAGTGAATCTACAATTGTATAGATCTCCCAAACGATTTTACTTCAAACATGAGAACACATGACTTAGGGAAGTTTCTTGGGGAGGAATACTAGTTCTATGGCCCTGGCTTAAAAGCCTTGTTGCTACTAGTCCCCTTGCGACGCTACTCTGTCTAAGGAGTTGGTATTTAACCGAGCTTCGTCTCGACCAACTTTCCTGGGAGTATACCTAATAATTGGCTATCATGTGTTGGTTTAATTCGTTTGTTAGGCTTTAACTTCCCCTTTTGCCAAGTGATTACAATTTCTAGATTAATTAAAGAGTAGCCACAGCATCTTTAATTTACTAAAAATTGTCTAAAGTTCAAATCACATAAAGATGGCAATGATAAATGCCTAGTGGTCCTATAATTTTAATTAGTTGGGGAGTAGCCACAGCATCCTTAATCAGTTAAAATTATATATTGAGTTGTTGGGTCACATAAAATTTGATAAATGTCTAGTGATCTTATAATTTTAATTAGTTGGGGAGTAGCCACAGCATCCTTAATCAGTTAAAATTATATATTGAGATGTTAGGGCCATATAAAGTTTTAGACATATCAATTGTGATTAATTGTATGTAATATGATGGAATTTAGCCCACAGGCAATTTCGTTATATTTGTATGATTAATTAGGATGAAATACTGAACTATGATCATAATTTAGCCCACAGGCAATTATGTATCGGGATGTAGTTTAGTAGGTTTATCAGTGATGATAGGAATAAAGATTCACCTCTATCATGAAGCTTAATTTTATGATGTAAACTTTAGGTCATATATCTTAATTTGCCCACAGGGATTAAGATAAGGAACATGATCTCTTAAGTGTTTTTTGGTCATAATGGTTGTAATGAATCTAATTGAATTAAAACTTCAGCCCACAGGCAAGTTTTATGTCACTTGATTCTTCAACTCATTTGCTAATTGTTTCATCATAAAATTTCAGTTGGATCTTATTGAGTAAAACTTTAGCCCACAGGCAAGTTTTATGTCACTAGATTCTTCTGGCCATTTAGTAATTGAGATAAAATACTATCATAAGTGTTTAATTGAATTTAATAGAATTAAAACTTTAGCTCACAGGCAAGTTTTATGTCAAATAAATTCATCAACCCATTAGATAATAACTTTATCCCAATTTCTTAGAATTTATAAATTCAGTTCAATTATAATTCTAAGTTTCATGGTTTGCATTGGCAAAACATGTATTTAGTCACTTTCCAAAATTTAGATACACCTTTTATTAATTATTTTTCACGAAGCTTACTTGGTTATTTGGACTAACTATAGTAAGTTACGTGGTATGATATACCTCTTTTGGATTCCAATAATAAAATATATCTTCTGAGCCGAATTCCAACTTGGTTTTGGAAGGCATATTTTATTATTTTAGTATGTCCAACTATGGTGGAGAATCATGTCCTCATTAATCATTCATTTAGTTGGACTATAATTGGAACTAAATATTGATTATTTAGTGTGCCCAACTAATGGTGGAGAATTATATCTTCATTATTTAGTTGGTCAAATCAATTATGAGTGTTATATCATTAATTTGGCTAAAGAATATCTTAATCAGTGGGAGTGATCATTTAGAAAAAGATCATTAAAACACTCCACTAAAACTGATGGATTTAATTGTTTTCATACATTCCAAATTGGGTTGTGCGTCCAAAAATAAGTCTAAAAGTTTCCACAAGTATTAATTAATTTTTGTTCTTATAATTCATAAGTTCATTTCATTGAACGTTTGGTTGTACAACATATTTATGAAAATGTTGTAACAATATTAATGAATTTATTAGAACGAAATCATTTAACTTGTGGTGCACTGCCAATTAATAAATTCTTTAGCAATTAACAGAGTCTTTAGTTTCTTCAAAATTGATCCTGGGCCATTTTTGGTTTGTAAGGCTCAAAACAATTTTGTAAGACGTAATAAGACTTGTAGTGTTCAATTAATTTCGAGGTGCACCTTGAGATTATTTGGGAAGTTGGTGTATGTTTAAGATTCCAAATTATTGACTTAGACCTTATGGTTTATGTCATTGGAATGTTTCTGTGACTTGACTATCTTTTGGCTATCTTAATGAGTGGGAGTGACAGACGTGTCAACTCCAAGCTCTTAGCCGTTAGAGGTAGTGTTTATGTTAACTTATAAACAAGTCATAGAATATAGTTAGCATTATGCTAACATTAAGAGATCTCTACTTAAGGCATGCTTCTAAGAATTTGGAGATCATACAGTGAATTTGGATGGTTTCTTCCTTCAGTTGTGCACATAATATATTTTGAGAAACATCCATTAAGGGACTAAGAATAAACGTAGGGTTTGTTCATAAAGAACCTAAGTTAGAGAATTTAAATGCATGTGATCATAGTAGATACTACTCACTTGATTAGTAGATGACGTATTACTATGGTTCTTGTATTTTGTTCTTTAATGAAGGTTGTGCCAGTACTTGCACCAAGTGGGAGAATGTAAGTATTTTCCCTAAATACAATATATTATAATATATTGTATTATTGGGTGGTTGTGGTGCAAGTAGGAGATTGAGTCAATTAGTGACTTAATCTGTTATGCAACTCAGGATATTCAGTTAAGCTTTAACTGAATATCTGCCTATGTTGATGGCATGTAGGCTTCTAAGCAAAATAGTCCTCCCACAGCTCCCGGGTTCAGGACATGCACCATCACGTATTCGGGAGAGAAGTGGTAGACAAAACGACACTAACCTTTATTCTGCAGGTTTACCATCTCGTGGCAATACCAACGACTATGGCTGGGGATATTTGGGCGATCCTAAAGCTTCCGCTGTAACGAGGCAGGTTACTCGTTTACTACAGTTTGTGTTAGTCTTAATATTATTATCTAACATTCTCTCTATCAACCAAAAATGTGAAGTTCATTATATTATTTAAGAAATTAAAAATGAAATTGGTTCAATAATAAGCAGCATTGCCCTATTCAAAGTTATGACAATTTTAGTCAATCATTCTTTCTTTTCTTTTTTTTTTTTTTTATCTGAAGTGAAAATTAATGTAAAGTCACAAATATATTAACTTAGTAATGTGAAGGAATATCTTTCCTTTAATTTAACGAATTAAGAAAGTTGTTTGTAGGCAAAGCAAAGTATACACCCTGGCCTGTATGAGCACTACATAGCAATCTTGGAAGAAAAGTAGAGAACAAAACCACCGCCGCAAGAGAAATCTATCTATCTCAAACAAACATTAAAATCCAAACTCAAACATCTATCTGAGATAAACAATATAATGTACACAAACATTTTATGAGAGAATTAAGAATAAACTGAAGTGTTTTGATAGATCCAATAATGTCGGGTATAGGCGGATCACGAAGAAGGGCTAGACCAAGCAACGTCATATATGAAGAGATGGTGCCTGATTTCGAGTGGATTGAGGATCCAACTAATCATTGGCTTGGTCTTGAAGTTCCAGGTTAGTTTAATTTCCAGCATTTACATATATTTATGGTTTCTTAATTTTTCGTTGGAATTAATACCCAATTAATTTAGTCATCAACTATAGGACGTGGGTTTTATTGATTTAGTTCTGAACGTTTTTTTTTTTTTTTTTTTTTTTTTTGTGCTTAATTAGGTCCTAGACTTAGATGGTTTTATCTAATTGTATCCTTAGCTGTCAGAATCATTGACTAAATCGAGAAAAATCATAGTTGAAAACTAAATTTGGTAAAATCATTATAGTAGATTAAATTGGGTAAATCCACTATAACCGTACTAATGACTAAATTGGTATTAATCGAAGGAAAATTACCAAGCTATACTAACATAGGACTCAATTAGGTAAAATCATCAAAGTCAAGAACCCAATTAAGCACGGTTTATGACTAAATTAATTGAGAAAAATCACTATAATCGATGAGTAAATTGGGTATTATACCCGTTTATATTCAAAAAGGTGTGTTTCCTGTCTAGATTTTCCATCCAACTTTGAAATGTTGGACACTATTTCCGACCAACAAATGGTGTTGGATGGAAATTTCGACGAGATTTTTTCAAATTTTCATTTTGGTCAATATGTTGTTCAAAAAAATTATTTCTGATAAATAAATAAAAAATTATTTACCGCCCAACAAGTTGGATGGAAGTAGCGAGATTTCTAGCAGTGCATTTTTGTTATAATAATCCCACAGCTAGGTGGCATTTGCTGTTAATCACATTTATATAATGATCAATCATGTTTTCCCTTAATTATTATTTTCATGCTTCAATCAAATTAAAGGGTTTCCAACAATTACTGTAGTTTTTGCATGCATGCATTCATTTTTAATTTTTTTGTTTTTTAGAAATGAAATGATATTACCATATATATCTTTTAAAGGGTTCAGAAGGGAGGAGGTGAAACTTGAAGTTAACACTTATGGCCTCATAAAGATTGCTGGAGAAAGGAAGATAAGTGAGATAAAGTATATATGGTTTGAGCAAATTTTCCAGGCCCCAGAAAATTCAAAGCCTGAAGATTGCAGAGTGGGGATGGAAGAAGGGCTTTTCTATGTTCAGATACCCAAGAAGGCAACACAGAGAGTTCAAGCTTCTAAGACACCCAGAGCTGAAGAAGAAGATGATGCAGATCATCAAAAGGGCAAAAAGGTAAATGACAGTGGTGGGGGTACAACTGAAAAAATCCCAGCTTCTACCCCTACTAAACCACCCAGAGATGATGATGAAGGTTCAGATCATGAGAAGGGCAAAAAGGTAAATGACAATGGTGGGGGTACAACTGAAAACATTCCAGCTTCTACCCCTACTAAACCACCTAGAGATGATGAAGGTTCAGATCTTGAGAAGGGCAAAAAGGTAAATGACAGTGGTGAATTTCCTAATGAGAATGAGGGTACAATTGAAACTATCCCAGCTGCTACTCCACTTGAGACACCCAAAGATGAAGAAGAAGAAGAAGATTCAATTCAAGAAAAGGGCAAAAAGGGGAATGGCAATGGTGATATCCCTAAGGGTACAAGTGAAGAAAAAGAATATGATGATGCAAAAGGAGAAGAAAAGTCAAATGGGGGCAATTTTTTGGAAAAAGTTGCAAAGAGGGTGAAACAGAATATGGGAATTTTCATAACAGTTATCCTCATTCTTTCTGCAGGTGTTTTAGTGTCTCAAGATAATAAACGCAAAAAAGCCAATAGTAATGATGAAATATTGGCCAAACTCGATTCTCAAAATCATAACGATGATGAATAGTAGAAAATATCTCATTTCTCCAATATTTATATATTTACTTCATCAATATGTATTTTATTATTTTGATACATATGAAAAGAATGAGACATTATATATATCTAACATCACTATATACTCCTCACCACAAAATAAATAAAAAAAACATCACTATATACTTTTTTTTAATAATCATTTAAAAGTATGGCCAGGCATGAATTGATACCCTGCATGTTGAGCATATAATATAATATATAGAAAAAATTACATTTTTGGCCTTTCAGTTATTCCCGTGGTACAAATTTAGTCCTGAGTTATATGCGTGACCATCTTTAACCTCTAAGTTATGCACGAAGTGACAATTTTAGTCTCTCAAGACCTATTTCTACCACCAATTTGTCACTTAATAAAGTGGCTAATTTGATCCTTCAAGGACTAAAATCGTCACTCCATGCATAACTTAGGAATTAAAGATGGTCACGCATATAACTCAAGGACTAAGTCTGTACCACGGGTGTAAATGAATCACCAAAAATGCAATTTTTCTTAATATATAAACATAAATGTGCAGTCAACTATCAACTTAACATTTTAGTTGAGAGAAAATTTCAATTTTGGTCACACGACTATAGGGGCCTTGTTAATTTTAGCACCTAACTTTCAAAAGTACCAATTTAGTACCTTGAGTATGTAATTTTTCTCAATTTTAGTCACTCCGGCCAATTTACCAGTCAAATTTGACCGAAAAAATTAAATCCAACTTTTAGGCACAAATCTGAGGGACAAAACAGTCTTTTCCTGATCTGCTCCTAATTGACCGGACCAAGAACGAGTCGTTCTTCTCGGCGACGACCCGTTCGAAAGCCGGCGACTTTGATCGGAAAATGAGCAAAATATCCGACTTGGAGGAGAGCCCGGAGGTGAAGAAGAGGCGTAGAAAGAGCTTAAGCTCGAGCAGAGTGAGATTCTCGACGGCAAGTTGGTAGAGAATGCTCCGATCGGTGAGCAAAATGCTGATTCACGACCTGATTGTCCAGAAATTGTTCAGAATATTCGAGATTAAGCTGTTCTTCGTTGCACAAATGCACGAACCGTTCGACCATATTTCTTGAGGCGAGATAAGTTAGATTTGTCTTGATCAAACGTAATTTTTGAGAATCTGAAGGTAAATCCAGAGGATTATCAGTCGATTGGAGGTCAGAGCATCGATTTGTTGCCAGAATTTGTCCTGTTTCAAGAAATAGCGACACAAAATGAGATTGGACAGATCGTACAGATTCTCGCTACGTAAATGGCAGAGGTCTAAATAAGACTGCAATTCCAAATTAGAGAAGGACAATTGCAAGAATTTCAGCGAGAGAATGGCGAAATATGGTTGAGACGGAGGAGCGATTCACCTTGATTGAGCGTTTTGCGAAGGGGGGCCGCTTCTGGATGCAATTAGGGCAAAAATTTGAGAAATCCTTCGTCTGGAAGGGGAAGTGCAGATAGGATCCTTGGATAGGCGTAGCATCTTGTTGCAATTCACGTTGGAGGAGGACTGCCGGAGAGTCCGGATGCGGGCTCATGCGGTGGACGGAGTCAGAATCTGGTTTGCACGTTTAATTGGGACCACAGTTCAAAAGACGATTTTGCCCCTAATATTTAGACTAAATGTTGAATTAAATTTTTCCGGTCAAATTTGACCGGCAATTTGGCCGGAGTGACCAAAATTGACAAAAATTACATACTCAAGGTACTAAATTGACACTTTTGAAAGTTAGGTGCTGAAATTAACAAAGCCCCTATAGTCATGTGACCAAAATTGAAATTTTCTCTTTTAGTTGAGATGGACCACATGCTCCAATTGGTATGAGAGTAAACCTCATGGAAGAGGTCATAGGTTATGCACTCCAAATTCACAAATTTAACTGAAGTTATTTTTAATTCAATTTTTAACAATATTATGTTTAATATTAGTATATGAAATTTATATATTTAGAAACTACATTATTAGTACTATTAAATTCAAAAAATCAAATTTAAAAATAAGTAAAAAAGAAAGAGATGATTTGACGAATGAATAATAAACATGACAGGTAAAATGAGACAGAGTGAGTGATTAATTAAAATTATGTAATTCTGGTATGAATAAATTAATAATGAGTGATAACAGGTAAGGAGGGAATGCAGAAATGGGAAGAGTGGTTTGCATAACAATACAGGTAGTGATTGGATGGGATGGGGCTTGGATTAATAATAGTGAGATAAGTGGTTGGAAATAAAATTGGTAGTTGATAAAACAACTTCCCCTTCCTGGCCATCAATCTTTTTAATTTGTTTGTGTCCATTGCTTCATCACTTTCTAGGTTGTCTAGAAATTAAATAGAGTTGGAACAAAGCATTTAAGGAAGAAAACTCAGTAATTTCTTCAATCCATTTTCATCAATATCAAAAGCCACTCAGTTCTTTAAGATCTCAGGTGTGTGATATTTCCTCTTCTCACATCTTGTGAATGATCTTTCATTATAGAAGTTCACCATCAAGCCCGCACGGGCTTAACTCAGTAATTTAGTAGGTAATATTTGGGAGAAAGAAATAAAAGTTCGAAACTTGGCAGCGGCAATGTGAAAATTATGCCCAAAATGGACAGATCTCGTCATTTGGCCCTATGCCGTCAGCCCAAGACGTGGGGCCCTTAGGGTTGAGGATTCAACCTTTTGGGAGAAGAATTTCACTATCGATATTTAATATTTAAAAAATATTTTTTTTCATAAAACTTGGCATATGCCTGATTCTTTTCTTTTTGTGCATAGGTGTGTTGAGATTGGGAATGGGAGAGACAGAAGAAGCAGAAAAGCATGTCAGTGCAAAGAAAACTGAAGAAGAGAAAAAGCACAAGGAAAAGAAGAAAGATAAGCATGAAGGTGATGATAATGGAGAAGGGAAAGGAGAAAAAAATGGTGATAAAGAAAAGAAGAAGAAGAAGGACAAGGGGGATAAGGCTAAGGAGAAGGCTGGAAAAGAGAAGAAGGAGAAGAATCCTGAAGATAAAAAGGATCCAGTAAAGTTGAAGCAAAAACTGGAGAAGCTTGATGCCAAGATACAGCCTCTGATGGCTAAAAGACAAGAAATTCTCAACCTGATCAATCAAGCTGAGAACAATAATGCACCGAATCCCAGTGCAGAAACATGAAACAAACAATACCAGATATTTATTACTCATCAAATTCCAGTTTTGGTGACCTTAGAATATAATAACTACCCCAAAATAATGTATTCAGTTAGAATATGATGTGCTATAAAACTTGTTTAATAAACCTATAAATTGAAACAGAGTAATCATTATTGCAGAAAAGTATCCAACAATCCTATTATTTCACAATTCCTATTCCAAACTATTTCTTCAATCGACCAATCTCTAAAAGATGAACTCAAATAAATTCATGCTAAACAAAAGCAAAACCATTATATATACGGCAACGACTTTCAAGGTTCATAAACCAGCTTGAAGTAGTCAAAAAGTATACCATTTAATGCTCGGCAGTATGGGTAGCCTGAAGAAGCCCATCACGAATCTGGTTAGCCACATCATTCACAGCTCCTGGTCCATGGGGAATGAAGACGGCAGATGATTTATTTGCTGCGCCAATTTCCTTCATTGTGTCGAAGTATTGGGTGACAAGAATCATCTCCATAACATCCTTTGATGTGGTTCCCGGGACATTGACAGAGAATCCGAGAACACTGTCCCTAAGGCCATCTACAATAGCCTGACGTTGGCGAGCAATACCCAAACCCGCGAGGTACTTGGACTCTGCCTCACCCTCCGCCTTCTTAATTTGTATAATCTTCTCAGCCTCTGCCTTCTCATTCGCAGCTTGCCTTAGCCTAGCAGCTGGAGTGTTAAAGATAGACAACAAATAGCATGGGAAAATTTTAGTTTTACATTCTCTTTAGTTTTGACAAAGTAAGCCTCTCACTGTTTACTTAAAATGAATTAACTGCCAATGTTTTCAACATACACATCCCATATGAAGAAATAAAGACCGTTTATTCATAATTTGTCTAGGCTTCAATACTAAACCAAATGAAAGAAGAGATCAGGTTTATTTTACCAGCATTGATTTCATTCATAGCTTTCTTAACACGCTCATCTGGTTCTATATCAACAATAAGAGTCTGAACAATTTCATATCCATAAGTAGACATAGCCTGTTAATCCATGAGGGCCAAGAAATAACATCAATCAGTAGTGCCAGAATACCAATAAAATTTTATGGAATAAGGTTCAAATTGGCCACTGAACGTAACCTGAAAATGCAATTAGGCTACTGAACGAAAAAAAAGTGCAATTAGGCCACTGAACAATCCAAAAATGTGCAATTTCACCTGATAGCAGGTTACCCTCAATTTTAGCAGGTTATCTGCTTACGTGGCAGCTGAGTTGGCATTTTTAATAAATTTTAAATCATTTTTAATAATAAATTTTTATTTTAAAAAATTTTAAAAAAATAAAAACGACTTTATTTTATTTTTTATTTAATTTTTTTTTCAATTTTTATAAAATTTATTATTAAATTAATTATTAAAAATTATTTAAAAATTATTAAAAATGCCAACTCAACTGCCACGTAAGCAAGTAACCTGCTAAAATTGATGGTAACCTGCTATCTGGTGAAATTGCATACGTTTGGAGAGTTCAGTGACCTAATTGCCCGTTTTTGGAGTGTTCAGTGGCCTAATTGCACTTTTTGTTCGTTCAATGGCCTAATTGCATTTTCAGGTTACGTTCAGCGGCCAATTTGAACCTTATTCCAAATTTTATTACAGAAGTTATGCAAATGTACCTTCTCTAGTTCATCCTCAACAGCCTTAGCAATTTCATTTTTTTGCTCAAAAACATTATCAAGATTGAGTTTAGGAACACTTGCCCTGATTACTGGAAAGAAAAAAGAATGCAAATTCAACATTTAAATCTCCATGAATAAGACTTAAATACGAAAAGTTAGCTAAGGCTCATACCATCAAAAACATAGGCCTGAATCTGACCCGTAGTGTTGCTTAGTTTGTAAAACGCATCGTTTGCTTTCTCAGCTAGAGCACGATACTGAATTGATGCCACAACATTGACAAAGACGTTGTCCTGTAAACAGATTACCAACAGGCATGATCTCAGTCTGGAAGGAAAGAAAAAGTAAAGCAAACAGACAAAATTTCCAGCCAACAGAATATGCTGGATATACAAGTTAAGGGGAGTTAATTTAGTGTAAAAACAAGAGAAACGCAGACCTTTGTCTTGGTCTCACAGCTCACATCCAATTGCTGCACACGAAGCGTGAGATGGCCAGCTATCTTACTTCCAAGGCACCACGGGACAAAGTGGCATCCAGGTTCTAGGACATCCTCAAACTTGCCAAATTGTTCCTTGATTGCAACTTTGGATTGATCAACTTGCACACAACAAAGCAGATTGCCCATCTTCCCTAATTAACGAATTAAATCCATAAAATGTAAGAAGGTTTATCCATAACAATTTGATGAAATCCATTTTCAAGAAACACATGACTAGATATGGTATTTCACACTCCAGGAGCAAAGTCCAACTCTAATCTCTAATAAAGTACAAACCACAAAATTACATGTGGAGCATCTAACAAAATACTTTGGAAGGTAAGCTTATGCCTTAAAAATATATGTATTCCAGTGTAAAAGTCCAAAATTGAACCTAGAGACACATGCAATTTTCTTCCATACTAAGGTTCTCAGAAACCAAAATTTTATATCCAAATTTTATCAATACTGACATACTGTAATGGTTAGTACCCTGTTCTCTGTCAATTCTGGAAAAAAAAAATTTAAATAAATTGAATTTCTCAGTCAAATTCCAATAATCAGCACAGCATTGTCTTACAAAACTCACACCCAGAACAATCTTCCACCCAAATATATAAGCAAAACTAAGGCAAAGCCCTAATACATTTTTCAGTCCATAATTTGTCAAAAATACATACAATAATCTCTCAAACAGTGATCAAAGAGTCTGGGGAGAAGGGGCGTCAAGATTCAAGATTAATCAACATTAAAAACAACACATAACTGAGAGACAGATTCAAAGCTCTAAGCATGTTACAGGAATGTGTATATATATATTAATACACACACACACACACACACACACACACACCAATGACATAACTGAGAGACAGATTCAAAGCTCTAAGCATGTTACAGGAATGTGTATATATATATATATATATATATATATATATATATATATACACACACACACACCAATGTATACATATGTGTGTGTGTGTGTGTGTGTGTGTGTGTGTGTGTGTGTGTGTGTGGAAGAAACTTACAGCGTATGAAGCAACAGCAGAATGGAGATAAGAGATTTTAGCTAAGGAAGTCCACAATTTCCCAACATAGAAGAAAAGCGTGTGATTAATAAGCTAAGGAGCCAACCATGAACCTTCGCGGAGAGTGAAAACAATGAAGCATTCCACCATTTTACGTTTCATCCACAGGATAGATTTGCCAATTTCGGACGCATTTGCCAATTAGTGATTCTTTTTGTTATTGGAATTCTTTTTTTTTTTAAACTTTTTGTTATTGGAGTTAATTATTTGGAATTAATGTTAATCTATATAAATATGCTATATTATTATTTAAATTTATGATTGTTATGAATAATTAAATATTGAGTTATTTGCACTTTTGGTCCCACAACTATGTTAATTGTCACTAACAATTTTGATCCCAACGACTTTTAAAATTTGTAAAATTGGTCCACGACTATGACTTTTTTAGCAAATTTGGTCCTTCCGGTGCATTTTTCGTTCAATTTTTGCTGAAAAATTTTACTCCACATTTTAATATGGGTAATATTGTCTTTTCTATCTCAGAAACTAATGACATAAATAAATAAATTAATTAATTAATTAATTAAACACAGCCAGTGGTACGGTGATTGAAATTAAAAGTCACCCAATTCCAATTCCACTTTCAGTTTCACCCTCCTCGCTAAACGCCAACATTTTTTAGCTGTTTATTTATTTATTTATGTCATTAGTTTGTGAGATGAAAAAAAACAATATTATCCATGTTAAAATGAGGTGTAAAATTTTCCGGCTAAAATTGAACGGGAAGTGCATCGAAAGGACCAAATTTGCTAAGAAAATTATAATCGTGGACTAATTCAATCGTTATGCCATGGAACCGTGTTCACCATTCATGGTGAACACGGTTCCAACGGTGTTAGTACACCGCTATCTTTTTATTTATTTTTTTCTTTTTCTTAATTAATTGCGTGACTTTTCTTCTTCATCACATTTCACGGTTTCACTTTAATTTGAGGTGAGCAATGATTTCGGACATTCATAAATTATGAATTCATGCCTGCACATTCACTTTGGAACCATGCTACACATTCCCGTCCGAAATCACGGACATTCATAAATTATGAATCCATGCCTGCACATTCATAAATTATGAATTTTCTGTTATGAGATTATGAATCTACATTACATTCATAATCTCATTCTCATAACAGAAAATTCATAATCTCATAACAGAAAATTCATAATTTAATAAATATTATATTTTACTTTTATGCGATTATGAATTTTCTGTTATGATATTATGAATTTTCATTACATTCATAATCTCATAACAGAAAATTCATAATTTGATCAAACGGCGCCGTTAACTCCACATCCGCGATTTTATTTTTCTTTTTTGCGTAAAAACGATGTCGTTTGGACTTGTGTTCACCATTCACGATAAACATGTTTCCAGGGTATAATTTGCGGGACTAATTATACAAGTTTTAAAAGTCGTGGATCAAAGTTGTTAGTGACACCATAGTCGTGGGACCAAAAAACTCTTAAATATTTATCATAGTTGCTAAGCACCTTGTTCTCATATGGCACTATGTGACTTCCTTTCAGGGAAGAAAGGTTACATGATCAAACTCCGATGGTGGGTATTGACTCTTTGGGCTGCAGTTTTAAAAAAAAAAAGTAGCCAAATTGATTTTACGCCAACCAAGCTGCAGGTTCAAACAATTTTATTTAATGTGATATTATTATTTAAATATGGATTTGTTTTCTTAAACACTTTATTGAAAAGTGTTAATTATATTTTATAGTAAAATAATCAAGTAAATCCATATTTCAATAACAATTGAAGAGTACAACTAAATCCAAGTTTAATTGGTTTTCAAAAAAAAAAAAATACAAGTTTAATTATTTAATGTGGAGTATATCACAAGAAATAGCTCTTTAAGGGAACATATCAATGCACGGACTGGCATTCCATCTCTAGTCATGTACAGTCTGGTTGCTAGTAATGATTCTTAGCAGCCCTCCTCCACTGGGTTTTCTTAAGATAAAGATAAAGATTGATGTTGCAATGCAGTTTGATCAAGCTACGATGGGTTGGGGTGGATAGAGAGGAGTGAGGATGGTGTGGTGGTGGGAATGGGTCTGAGGGTGGTTGGTGGGCTTTATTCGGTTCGTGAGGCGGCCCTTGGGAGGTGGCAAATAAGGTTTTAAGGAAAGGGTGCTCACTTGACTCTTGCAAAAACCCAACACCAAACACTAGCCAAATTTCTTCATCTTTTCTTCCCATCTTTTCAAGAAATAATAGTCATATTTTATTTGATTATTATTTGTTTTCTACCAACGATTCCAACATTTGGTTCATGAGGCGGAGGCCAGGGGAGTTAGGGAGGCTTTGCGCTGGATCAAACAAAAGGAGTGGAGTAGGGTGTACTTAAAGATCGATGCTCAAGTGATTAAAACTTAAAAATGATGTCTTTGGGGGCAAACTATTTCACCATTTGGTGGTATTTTTCATGAGATTCGCTCCCTTTTGGCCAGTCTTCCGATGGTGAAGTATGATTTTGTGAAATGAAGTGCAAACATGGCGGCACATGTCCTTGCTCCGATGGCTCTATGTAATCAGGATGTGGGTTTAGTAGAATATTTTGATTGTATACCTCGTTATCTTTCTTCTATTGTTTGTACGGACGTGATGATTAATTGATTTATGGAGTTTTATCCGTTAACAATAAATAAATAAAATAAAATAAAATAAAAAGAAACATATCAATGTTTAAACAAATTTTTTTTGTTTTAACAAAAAAAGATAAGTTTTTATATCTCAAAAAATAATCATTATTATATAATATTAGAAAATTAACAAAATCTTTGTTTTTTTCCTAATTTAAATTTTAATAATTTGGGGGAATCAGACAGTTAAGGTAAATCAAATTCATCAACTTAAGAACATATTCCTATTGAATATCTATATAGGTGTAGACAAGGTTGTAAAAATTGCTAGGCATTCCTCGGGCGCTTGGGGGACACCTAGCACCTAGGGCGCCCGCTTTTTTATTTTAATTAATTTTTTTTTTGGGCGCCTAGATGACTGCTTAGTCCACAGCGGCCTAGTTGGCGTCTAGAACGACGATTCCGTCGAATTTCTAGACAATTACCCACCGCCTAGTACTTAGGCGCGATTTTTGCAATCATGGGTGTAGGTGTAAATGGTGTGGGTAGAAATCATTTCAAAATATTAAATATGACAATATATATGTGAAATAGTAACAAATAAAGAAATAGAAAATTGAGTAATTCAATATGTATTATCATATTCTATATTATTATTTTTTACGTGGCAAGATTTGGTTGCTTAATATAAGGCTGGGGAGTCATGATTTTTATCTATTCTTTTTTTTTTCTCCAATAAAATTTAAACATTTGTGTTTGGTACACCGTAATTGTAATTCTTTTACAATGCAATTCTTTGGTCTGTCAAATTAAATTGTTTGGTTAGAAGAAATTGCAATTCCTTCCTTTTGTTGAATTGGAATTCATACATCTCCCTATGAATTCCAATCCAACGTAACATGGAAAGGAAAAATATAAGAAAAAGACTTGTTTTCCCTTTGATGGGGTATGGACCCTAATGGGCTAGGGGCCCAAACGAAGGAAATAAATAAGGGAATGAGCTTGCTATGATTGACCCAAGAAAGGGAATCTGCTCTGTGGGCCTTGAGAAGACCTCGTGAAGAACTCGGATGAGTATGGAGCTGAGTCCGGGAGTCGGCATCAACAAGAGTTGGTCCGGTAGGTGACCGTTGCCGCTTCAATGCCCGCAATTAATATGGGTCAATCCAGCCGTTGGAAGAGTCCAATAACAGCGATCCAACGTCTCTTGGCCTTTATTTCCCATTATTATGCATTAATTCTTGTATTTAGTTGGTGTAGGTCGGCCACCTATAAATAGGCCTCCTCAAAATATTGAGGATAAGTTTTTTCCAAGTCGAGAAAACACTCGGAAACCATAACAAGAGCCACACATTTGATAGATATTTCTTTCCTTCAAATCACTTTTAGTTTCTCTTCTGGTGAATCCACCAATCTAATGGATTGTGTTGGACTTCCGTGGACTGCCAAAAGTCCTAAAACCAATACTCTTAATTATTATTTTATTATTATCAGACAGGGATTTTAATCTTTATATCACTTTTTTCCTTTTCATTTAGAATAATTCTATTTCTTCATACCAAACAATTTAATTTTAATTACTACTTTATTCCCACCGAATTACAATTCATTTCCTCCTAATTCTCTCCTTTTTTTTTTTTTTTTTTTTTTTTTTTTTTGATTGAGTAATTCTCTCCTTCTAACCAAACGTTCGTGAAAGTAAATGTTATGAATAGTTTTTAGAGTTCATGTAGTATTTTTCAAAAAATTAGAATCCATAGAAAAGTATCTCCATTCAATATGAAATTAAATAAGTAATAACAAGGAGAAAAGTGAACAAAAGTTGCCTATATCATATCCACTTTGACTTTTATTGAGTTATTGCTTGTGGGGCACTTATGTGATGAACAACGAAGCAATTGACTGGGTGCATAAGTCAACCACTCGACGCCCCTAAGAAGGCAAATTATGCTGTGCATCCGTATACACAATGCATGGTGTATACGGATGCAAAAACGACGTCGCTTTATTAAAAACGCGCGTCTTTTTTTTAAAAAAAAGATTCAGGTTCGATTTTCAGCAACAACATATGAACTAAAATTCCAAAATCAGTGAACTATAATTCCAGAATCGATGAACTATAATTCCAGAATCTATGAACTAAAATTCCAGAATTTAATCTATGAACTAAAAATTCCAGAACGAATGAACTAAAATTCCAGAATCTATGAACTAAAATTTCAGAGTCGATAAACTACAATTCCAGAATCGATGAACTATAATTCCAGAATCAATGAACTAAAATTCCATAATCTATGAACTAAAATTCCATAATGAATGAACAACATAATGCTGTTGCTGGGAATCGAACCTGATTTTTTTTAAGGGGAAACGCGCGTTTTTAATAAAACGACGTCGTTTTTGCATCCGTATGCACCATGCATGGTGCATACGGATGCACAGCATAACTACTCCCCTAAGAAACTTTGTCGCATTTTCGTTTCTCCAATCATCACTGACTCGAGTCAATCGTGTTTAGAACATGGAAAAACTTTCATTTTTACATATAATACAAAACATAAATGAAATGAAAATCTCTCTATTTTCTTTTTTTATAAATTAAATAGTTTAATTTTCCTCTTATGTACACTTGTGGTTCCTTCTTGTTCGAGTAACAAGCCTCCTTTTCTTATTCACTAGATCTTCGAGTAGTGGAATCAGCACACCAAATATTTTCATTAGAATTTGAACCTTCACATATCACCTCCGGTCTAAGTGAGGTGGGAAACTCATCACATTCAATGTAATGAAAGACACTATTATATTCTTCATGGAGACTTGAAAGAAGAACGAGTGTGTAGGAAGCAGCCAAGAATGTTGCAATTGGCAAATTATTCCGTGGATCGTGGTCCAAAGATGCACAATTTACATACTAAACGTTCACAATTTGTGATGATCATACATTGTATTCACAATTTTTCAAAATTTAAAAACACAATTTATATTCTAGAAGTTCACAATTTCAATACTTAAAATACACAATTTAATATTAGATTCATCTTGCAAGGTAGACCTTGGTCCATGATATAACAATTAGTTTCAATTCTTCCATCAATCGTTACGGTCCCAAACGGTAACAGTGCCCGTAAGTGGCACCGTTCTTCTTTTTTTTTTTTTTTTTTTTTTCCTTAATTAACAGCGCGACTTTTCTTCTTCATTTTCACATTTCGCGGTTTCACTTCCTCTTCGCGCAAGCTTCTTCAACACTCATAAATTATGAATGGGCGGTGACCGCAAGGCGAATGCCGATGGCAACAGCGTCGGCAGTAGGATGTTCGGCCATGGCGGTGGTGCTACTCTGATCTCCGGCTCAACTTAGGGTGGTAGCGCTGATGGCGGTGTTTTGGGTGGGAGAGAAGGTGGAGTGTTTGATGGTGGCGAAGCAGTGATGCTTCCGGGCAGTGACCATGGCTGTCAACGTCTGACTCTCTCTCTCGATCGCAGACCTTTTTTTAAAAAAATTAATTTTTTTATTTTTAACTAATTACCTGTTGGTAACCTGCTATTGCAAGTCATTTGTGACAAACTGCATGATTTTACAATGTTGAATGGTTCACTTTTTTTTTTTTTTTTTTGTTAAGTGGCCCAATTACATTTTTACCCGTTAAATAGATGACTAATTTAAGTCTTATTCCTAACAAAAATTCATTACCGTTCGATTATTCAATATATTATCGAACCGAACCGAACCGAATTGCGCCTAATAAAATATTTGACATTCGTTTACACAGTTGACCGTATCACCCTAGGACAAAATACTTTCACAAATCACAATCACCGCGTACGCGTGTGCTGTACAAAAAATAGGGAGAGACCAAACCTATTTCGGTTTCTCTATATCCTCACCGTTCTTAAACAGCACTCCCTTAAAAACAAAATAATAATAATAATAATAATAATAATAATAATAATAATAATAATAATAATAATAATAATAAAAAAGAAAGAACAGATACATCGGAGACTATCATAGATGCGCCGCGATCGCTTCGTCTGAGAACCCTAGGCCTCAAATTCCAGTTCAGGTATACTTTGCTTCAAAACTTTTCCTAATATTTTGTAAATTCATTCTGATTTAAATTTTGTTTTGGTCTGTTAGATCGGTAAGTTTGGTGAAATCTGTCTTGTTTTGAGCTGGTTTATTGTTTTTCGTTCGATAAGATTTGAGATCTGGTGATCTGATACATCAATTTAAGTTTTTTTTTCCTTTCAATCATTTTTTTTAAGATTTCCTTTAATAAAAGGATTCTGGTTTGACGTCTGGTTTACCATCGATGGTGTAGCGCCTATAATTCTCTTCCACCACTGAATTGGTTTGAGGATGTTGCCATTTCCTTCCCTGGTTCTTAACTCCGTTGACCATTGAAATGGTTTATGCCGTCATACGTGACTCCAAAATTTAAACTACTTCTCGATCATGCTCTGGCTCACAATATTGTTACCTTTCCTTTCGCTCTTTGCCTACTCCATTGCTCCTTTGTAATGGAAAATCAACTAAGAAAATTTTAATTCTATTGAGTTTAGGAAAATTTTAATGTTTCATTTTGTAATAAATTTGGAACCGCTATTAATCTATAATAACTTTCTTCTATATATATGTGTGTGTGTGTATTGTGATTTATGTAATTAAAAGTTTACCAGTAAATTTTACTATTTAAGTGAATAGCATTATACAACTTTGTAAACATTATACTCAATATTTGCTCTATATGAATATTACATTTTAATTATGTCAACATGAACACATATTGGAGTATAAATTTATAAATACACTTCAAACATGTGAAAATCTGTTTATGTTCCTATTTGGGTCTAAATAAATTTATGGATTCAAAACCAATATTAATATTTCTTGTTGGAACATCTATGATAACTTTTATATGGCCATTGTTTACAAATTACATGAACATTTAATTTACTACATGTGGACATTTTATTCTTTCTATATGAACATTCTTGCATATTGATAGGCATTATTTTTATTGCTATTTTTAATAATTTTTTTATAGTTAAATTGTTAAAGTTAATTAATTTTATATTTATTTTTATTTATTATTAATATATTTAACTTTATTAATATTGTTTAATTTTAATTTGTTTTTGTTATAAAACTAGTCTTGTTATATAAATTGTCAGCCCAATAAATTATGGCCTTTAGTTTATTATTATTATTATTATTATTATTATTATTTTAGGCCGTCTGATCTATGTTTTGTGCCTAAGCTTGTGTTTTTCTGGGAATTGATGTTCTATTAAATTGATAATTTAATTTAATATGTTTTGTTTAATTATAATTGGATTGGCATCTTTAAATGGTGTTTCTTGATTTGTTTAATGTTTGTTGTTTTGATTTCTGAATTTAATAATTTTGGCTTTGCTTTCTTTCAGACTTTTGGTTGCATTGTCCAAAGATGTTAGAGCAGTTATTTATTTTCACTAGAGGGGGGTTGATCCTCTGGACCTGCAAAGAGCTTGGAAATGCTCTTAAAGGTTCTCCGATTGACATCTTGATTCGGTCTTGTCTCTTGGAAGAACGATCAGGTTCTACATCCTATAATTATGATGTGCCAGGAGCTGCTTATACTCTTAAGTGGACATTTCACAATGAACTTGGAATTGTATTTGTTGCTGTTTATCAGAGGATTCTCCATCTTTTGTATGTTGATGATCTACTAATGATGGTTAAGAAAGAGTTCTCAATGATATATGATCCCAAAAGGACCCTGTACAATGACTTCGATGATATTTTTCAACAGCTTAGGAAGGAGGCAGAGGCACGTGTTGAGGAAATGAAGAAATCAAAGCAGGCGGGAAAGCCTATGAAGAATACTCTTGCTAAGAAGCAAGGACAAGTTCAGAGGGGCATGTTTGATGGAGGTAATAAAAAAAGTGAATCAGGAGATGATGGTGGAGAGGACAAGGTTAAAAACCGCTCACTAGAAAATGGCAATTCTAATTGTAGTTTTGAGAATGGGAGTTTGCCTGCAGAGGGGGCTGATAAGGTTAAAGAGAATGTTAGCTCTAAAACTGGGGCATTCGATGTAAATAAGTTACAGAAACTTAGGACTAAAGGTGGAAAGAAAACCGATACTGTTGTTAAAAAAGGTTCTAAGGCGGAGGCCGCCGCAGAGCCAAAGAAAATAATGAAAAAGAATAGAGTCTGGGATGATTCACCTTCAAAGTCAAAGTTAGATTTTACCGACCATGTGACTGAGGATGAGGTGCAGAATGTAGCAGCTGTGGCAGTGGATCAAGGTGAGAGTATGATGGACAAAGAGGAAATTATCAATGATAGTGAAAGTGAGGAGGATGATGAGGAACCAGAGAAAGACAACAAGGTTGATACAAAGAAAAAAGGGTGGTTCTCATCTATGTTCCAGAGGTAACTAACTCCCCCTACCCATGCTCTATGAGAAGAGGGATTTCTCCTCCCACCTAATTTTATTTTATTTGTTTTTTCAATTCTCTTCTCTTGACCACACATTCTTTTTACTGTTATTTGGTATTTATATTGGCGCCATTCCAGTCAATGATTTTCTTGTCTTCCCCCTTGAGAAAACTCTCTAATGATTGGTTTTTTCATTTGAGGAAAAAAGATTATTATTCATGCTTCTCTGGCAACCTTTTTGTAGTTCTATTGATATTCTGTTGTATGGCAACCACAAATATTTTAGTAACAGAATAAGAGAATTGATGAATGACAATGTAGAGTAAGGTGAATTCAAAACCAAGATTTGTGAGACCATAGTTTGGAACTTTGGATGCAGCCCTTGTCCTCTTGCACATGCTTTGTGGGTCATTATTGTGATTATGTTGTTTTATTTTAGGTGTTACTGACTATAAAGCTGCCCTTGTTTTTGAGCACATAGATGCATGCCTTTTACTGTTTTGGGTTGCATCCATTTTCAAACTGTTTTGACATTGATATTATTTTTCACTTGCCCTTCCCTTTTTCCAGTATTTCAGGTAAGGCAAATTTAGAGAAGGCGGACCTGGAACTACCCTTAAAAGCTCTTAAGGACATGCTCATGACCAAGAATGTGGTATGCTATTTCTGTATTTCATATAATGCTCTACCCAATAAACAAAAACAGAAAATGAAACCGAAGTAGGTGTAAAGAGGGAAAATTCAGGACAAAACAAGAAAGGGGAATGATTTCATTGATCCATGACCAAGCTTTTTGTTTGACAATCTTTTGAAGTTTTGATGTTTTCGTTAAAGTTTTAATGATATTCTTTGTAGGCTGAGGAAATTGCTGAAAAGCTGTGTGAGTCAGTTGCAGCCAGCCTTGAGGGTAAAAAGCAAGCCTCCTTTACGAGAATTTCTTCAATAGTAAAGGTAATATGACCATTAACATAGAAACAGGCTCCAAAAGGGGGCCATAGGAATTAACTAACATATATGTTATCTCAATTGCAAACATCTTTTTAATCCCTTTGTTTACTTCCTTTTTGTAAAATTCTAATGTGAAAGGCTGTGTTCATCAAACCAGGCTGCAATGGAGGAGGCTCTTGTCCGCATATTGACTCCTAAACGCTCCATTGATATTTTGAGGGATGTTCATGCAGCAAAGGAACAAGGAAAACCATATGTCGTGGTTTTTGTAGGGGTTAATGGAGTTGGGAAATCAACCAATCTTGCAAAGGTTAATTGATGTTTGATGCTTTATGGTATTTATCACGGAACTGCTACTCATGTATTTGACAAGCTTGTTTTGTCTGCTGTATACAGGTTGCTTATTGGCTTCTACAGCATAAGATCAATGTAATGATGGCTGCTTGTGACACGTTCCGATCAGGAGCTGTGGAGCAACTACGAACTCATGCCCGTAGGCTTCAGGTATGTTATGACATGTCTGTTCTTAGGGCTTTATTGTTCTGCTAGAATCACTTAAAATATGTGGAAATGATTGTGATGCCTGAACTTTGGCATTTATAGATCCCAATATTTGAGAAGGGCTATGAGAAAGACCCTGCAATTGTTGCAAAGGAAGCAATCCAAGAGGCATCTCGCAATGGCTCTGATGTTGTCCTTGTTGATACAGCTGGTCGAATGCAGGTATTTGGATTTAATTAGAATCTTTGTACTACAACAGAATTCCATTACGTGTGTATGTATTCAGCATGCATACAGACATATACATACTCACTTGGGACTTCAGATGCATGATTGGATGCATTATATCTAGTGTATGGGTTATGTTCATAGTCACCAGTACATATCTTGTTTTGCTTCCTGTAGGATAACGAACCATTGATGAGAGCACTATCAAAGCTTATTTATGTTAACAGTCCAGATTTAGTCCTGTTTGTTGGTGAGGCACTTGTGGGCAATGATGCTGTTGACCAATTATCAAAATTCAATCAGGTTTGTAGTTCACCCTGTGTGTGTGTGTGTGTGTGTGTATGTATATATATATATATATATATATATATATTACTTTGTAATAGTTGTCTTACACACATTGTGATTGCTTCTTGTTGTAGAAATTGGGCGATTTATCACCCTCACCAAATCCAAGATTAATCGATGGAATTCTCCTTACAAAGTTTGACACCATTGATGACAAGGTAGAATATGATCATATTATTTCCCTTTTTCGATGGAACAGGTATACACTGGTCATTTTAAATGTGATATACATTGATGGTTGCAGGTGGGAGCGGCATTATCCATGGTTTACATATCTGGAGCACCAGTCATGTTTGTGGGATGTGGGCAGTCGTATACAGACTTGAAGAAGCTCAATGTCAAGTCCATTGTCAAGACCCTGCTCAAGTAGTCGTGACCTTGTGTCGTTGTGTCTTGCTTTCTATTGCGCAAACTTTAACGATCAAATCTTTGCTGCAGTTCAGTTTGTTGTGTCTGTTATGTGATATTAAGACTTTGAATGTTGTTACACAATGCCTTGTCTTTGTTATGTCATCTCAGGACTTTGAATGTTGAAGGTGAATAATCCCAAGTGCTTGCTTGCCTACTTCTCTTGTTTTATTGTTGGAGCTGTTTCCCATAAGATATTTTATATGCTGTGTTTGAGATATTACCTTATTCAAATTAGGAATTTTCTTAAAATGTCTTTTACTATAATGTGTGTTCGTTTCTTCTTAGAATAAGGTTTTAAAAGAATTTGGGATTTTTTGGTCATCCCAATTAAGTTCACTGTTGCAATAATCAAAGCCGGCCGGCCGACTCGAATTTCACTGGAATTGGTATTCTAGCTGGCCGGCCATTGTATTTTTTAATTAATTATCAAGGGCCTTTTTTATTTTGTGACATATCTAAAAACATAGTAAGTTTCAATTAAAGTTATGTCCTTCATTTATGTTTGTATTTTTTATGTTAATCATTTTGTACATTGTGCTCTTTTAGAATTGTACTATATAATTTTTTTGGATAAAAATATTCTTATCGTTATAATTTCTTTTACATTTTTCATTACTTTTACCGTGCACATGCATTTATCATATCTTTTCTTATATTTTTTTAATTATAATAATATTTGTAAAACATTATATATTCATTATATTTTATATTAATATAATAAATAAATTTTATTTCACTTAGATTTTAATTAGTAAAAATTTGTTAATTATTTTTAAAAATATAAATATTAGGCATATGTTTTTGCGCGCATAGAAAAGACTAGTATATATATATATATATATATATATATATATATATATATTTATCAATAATTTAGTGATAGACAAGAAATTTATCAATCTTTTTAACAAAAAACTTTTTTACTACAAAATTTTTTGTTCACTATGCCCCTTAGGAATGAATTTTTTTCTCTTTTTTTTTTTCTATATAATTTTTTGCTTATATTTTTGTGTTTTTTTGTAGTTTGATACTCCGAGTATTTGTTCTTTTAACAAAAAGCACCAGAAGCAACGACACTATTGAATTATTCTATAAGAAATATATACATAATACATTTACATAAATTATATAAACAAAGATTAGATAAAAATGAGAATTGAATTAATCTTTTAAACTTTAATACTAAATTATCAAGTTTATTTTGAACAAATTTCCTCCTTTTTTTTTTTTTTTTTTTTTCTTCCTTTTCAGAAATTGACTTTTGGATAAGAGCTCTACTATATGTACTTCTAAATTTTACTTTCTTAAATTTATTTTATGATGTGATGGAATTGAGTAAATACCAATTTGAGTCCCACAAGTATTAGCAAAATGACAATTTTGATCCACATGTTCAATTTCTATCAAAACTCATCCTACAACTATTGTTTTACTACCAAAGTTCATCACTTCGGTTACAGAAAAAATTAAAACATGCCGGATTCTTAAATTAATAAGGGTATTATTGTCTTTTCGTAATTAAAATCAAAATATTTTCCAAATTGCTATTAGACCAAATTTTTTGACCTCCAATTTGCCTGACATGCCGTACCTTAATTCTTAATCAACCAGAGAAATTTGTTAATTGCGACCTCATTTGAAAGTTTAAACTTAGAAATTCGCCTGAATCATTGAAGAAGCTGGAGAACGACTTTATTCTGCCATTTGAAGGAGCATTGTCAACAACTCCATTCTTTCATTCGAAGCAATACTTTGACAACAATGATTGAATCGCGACAGAGATGACAAATATCATTTCATGAGAATTATACCTCTGGACAATTAAGAGCTCGGATTGCTGTTACAAAGTTGAACTCTGGTCCGATGGGCATCTGAATGCTCTTTTCAGAGATAAGGTAGAAAACTTAGGAGAAAATAGAAGAGGTCACGTTGAATTGAGATTTTAGGGTTCTTATTTGGGTTTTTAATTATTGAAAAAATAATAAGGATGAGAAATGACAATAATAACCTTATTAATTTAAGAATCCGGCATGTCTTAATTTTTTTGGTGACCAGGGTGATGAACTTTGGTAGTACAATAATAGTTGTGGGATGAGTTTCGGTAGGAATTAAATATGTGGATCAAAATTGTCATTTTGCTAATACTTGTGGGATTAAAATTGGTATTTACTCTGATAGAAATGATAGATTTTTTTTTTTTGTTTTTTGTTTTTGTTTTTGGGTGAGTCTATAAATATATTTACATTAAAATTTTAAATATAAAAATAAAAATTAAGAGTACAAAATGAGAGTATTTTCCTTGGTAATAAGTAGGGGTGGAAATAGGCCGAGCCGAGCCAAGGTTTAGAAAATTTGGTCTGAGCCTGTTACGAAAATCTAAAGCCTAGGCCTGGGCCTGGGCCTAATCCTGTATGTAGGCTTTTTGTTAAGCTCATGCCTGAGCCTACAATTGGCCTGGCCTGGCCTGAAACCTTTTTAAAAGTCTGTTTAATATTTAGACCATTAAAAGGCTTCAAAGTATATCCTACTTTGAGCCCGAATACAAATTTAGTATATTTTTTTTTTGTCCACTGAAACACAAAGAACCAATAACGCACGCCTCCACTGGGGCTCGAACTTACTCTCAACCCACTGAAACACAAAGAACCAATAACGCCTCCACTGGGGCTCGAACTTACAACCTTCCAAATGGAAGTCCAACCCGGATACCATTAGACCACATAGTCTTGGTCACTACAATATAAACATAATAACATTAAAATATAAAATAAAATAAATAAAAAAATCACGACTTCAGCATGCTTGTTAACTTGTTTAGAAATAAATTCAATTATATTATTCTTTGTTATCCTATATAATCTCATAAATAATTAACAATCAACTCACGTAATTAAGTTGCGACATTTCTTATGACAGTAAGAACAGTTAATAAAAAAATTAAACAATAAGAACACTTATAGCAGGATTAGCAATAATATTTATAGTTAAATCATAATTTATAATGAGATTTTGGAGGTAGAGTGTTAGGGTTTGGTAATTATATATACTTGGAGTTATATTGTAATATAAAAATATACATAGTATTATTTATAAAATATATATATATATATATATATATATATATATATATATATAAAGACCGAACCTGGTATATATAGGCCTAACCTGTTTAATTTAATAGATTTTAAAATTGACTCAAGTCTAACCTTTTTACTAAACGAGTTAGGCCTAACTAGGCTTTAATTAGGTCAAGACATAGGTCCTAATTTCCACCCCTATTAATAAGGATCAGGAATATCCGTTTCTGGCCGGCAGAGACAAATAGAATACGCAACTATCTAGTACTTTAACTCTTGGACGAGTCATTCACATTGAACACTATCAGCTTCACATTTCGTTGATCACTTGATCATGGTGAGCGAGATTCTGTGTTTGATTCTCCATTTTCTTTCCATTTTTGTATTTTACTGCTTTTGTTTTTGATACTTTGGTAAACTTTCCGGTGGGTGCTTAGGCGGAGACAGGCGGCGGAGGAGGAGAGTCAACCAAACTTCAACTCTACTCCTACTGGCGGAGCTCTTGCTCTTGCCGCGTTAGGATTGCTCTCAATCTCAAAGGTTTTAGTTCTCTCTTTATTCCAACTATTCTATCCGAGTGACCCGAATTTCCGTACAAAATCTAAATTAAAAACTAAATCAATATATCACAGGACTGGATTACGAGTACAAAGCGGTTAACCTGGTCAAAGGCGAACAATTCAGCCCTGGTTTGTTAAATTCTTCCTAGTCATCAATTTTTCTTTTCCTAATTGTTTATCTGCCCTAAATTAAATCAATGAATGAATATTTCAAACAAAAATGAGCAACATAATAGTGTAGAGTTGTGCCAAGTATCTTGCAGATTGACGATGTCAGTGTTACCATTCCAAACGGAAGGTCGCAAGTTCGAGTTCCATCCCAATCAAGAATGTTGGCATAGTCATGTTGAGTAGATATAATGTATAGGTTTAGATTGTACCAAAACAAAATAGTGTAGAGTTGTCAATTTTGCAACATTATTTACTTTAAATTTAAATGTGGTGTGCATGGAAATGTAGAATTTTTGAAGCTCAATCCGATGGGGTTTGTGCCGGCATTGGTTGATGGAGACATTGTTATTTCAGACTCTTTTGCTATTTTGATGGTGAGATTTCACCTTTACGCTAGTGTGGTGTTAAGTTTGGTATTCTATACGGAATAACTTGTAAGTAATCATAATGTGCAGTATTTGGAAGAAAAGTATCCACAGAATCCCTTGTTGCCGAAGGATCCTAAGTTAAAGGCTATAAATTTTCAGGTAAAATGTGGCAGTGGTTTGATATTGGTACTCATTTCAGACTACGCTCTTAGAAACTGTCTAATATAGTCATAGATGCTAGCCTTTTCAATGCTGAAAGTATTGAATATAGCCTTTACCAGAATACAGCTGGAAATTAAAACAAAATTGCATGACCAAGAAACAGAACTTGGTAGAATAATGAACATGATAGTTGAGTTGATTTCACCTTCACACAATGGTTGGCTGACATTTTCTGATTTTCATCATTTCACCTTTCTAGCAAGAATCATTTCATTTCAATTCAAAAAATCCTTGAGTTTCTATTGTGGCAAAGATCCCAGTATTGTAGACCATACTGTTAATGGCCCTGTTTTGTAAAAAATTGGCCTATAGGCCAATTTTGGCTTATTTGACCACTTTTAATTGTTTGATTTAGTTAAAATATCAATATAAATGTTTGGTTAATTAGCTTTTTGCAACTCCAAAAGGCTAAAATTCAAAAAGCTACTCCAAGCAACTTTTTCAATTAGCTTTTTGATAAAATTTTTTTTTTATACCGGACAGCTATCAGCTAACAGCTAATTTACCAAACACATTTCTACAATCAGCTAATGTTATCAACTATTTATACCCTCTAATTAGCACAATCAGCTAACATCTAACAGGTATCAACTAACATCCATTTTACCAAACAGGGCCAATATCAGATTGCTCTGAGAGGCATGAGTTTATGACTTTCATTGTAAACAAATAGGAGTTTATAGGCTTGCAAAATGTTATGTGCTCTAATCAGAAGAACTAGACATGGTGTGGGAGCACTAGACCGATGTCTTTTTGTGGTCCCTTGTGTCCTAAGCCAACTAGGGAGAGATAGGGGTAACCCCAGCCAAGATGGCATGAGATCCACACTTGTAACCACAAGGTCACGAGTTCCTTGCCCCCTTGGTTTGAGCTGGTCAGCTATGGGAACCTAGGCTGGTTTACTTGTGGTCTTTTGCCGGCTAGGTCACAAGGCGGGGTTTACCTACACCTAGAAGGGTTGTGGGGTTTCCCTCGTCATCCAAAAAAAATTAAAAAATCGGGAGATATACTTCCAATCAAAATATTATGTAGACATAAAAATGAGTTTAATTTATGCCAATATCTTTGCATATCTGTTTTCTCTTATGTTTTTCAGTTGATTTAATTTTCTTCAATTTTCTTGTTATTTGATTATAGGCTGCGAATATTGTTTCTGCAAACATACAGCCTCTACAAAATCTAGCTATTCTTGTAAGTATAAAATTATAATTTGTGGCGATTCACTATAGGCCATCTTAATACATTCAGTTTGATTTGACATGGTGTCATGTTACTTTGTCATGCAACTGTAGAAATATATTGAAGACAAAGTTGGTCCTAATGAGAAAGTTCCATGGTGCCAGACTCATATAAAAAAAGGCTTTGCTGGTAAAAGCTTTGTTCCTATTGGCTTTCTTGAAATAAGAATTTAATTAGCATGGGACAGTAAATTTGGATTTAATAATTCTGGAATTTGAGCAGGAGTAGATGCACCTCCAATCTTTACTTACAACTTCTCACGCATTCCCCCCTCCTCCCCAAGAGCTCCAACTCTCTCTCTCTCAGAATCTTCCATTTCCTCAACTTGCTACTTATCATTGAACTTTTTGAAAACCATAATTATATAGGCATTCCCTAATTACTATAATAAATAGAATATTTCACACTTTTTCCCAATGCATTATCTGATGAAATCCTGTTAAGTGTGATTGAAGTGCTCCATTGCACTTGGTCTTTCATTTCTAGATATTGGGTTTTTGTGATTTTACTCCTGATACCAATTTTGCAGCATTGGAGAAGCTACTGAAAAGTTATGCTGGAAAGTATGCCACTGGTGATGAAATTTATCTGGTTAGTTTCTTTACTAGGATACTTTCACTTGGACCAGAGTATCCTAACAGTAGAATGCAGACTTCTGAAATTAGAAATAGATGTCCTTCCCCCAACCCTGGGAGATTTCGATCTCAATTTACTTCGTATATATGTCTATTACCATTTGGACCCACTGAAAATAGGTTCTATTGTAATAATAATTTTTGTCTATACTCACCACTTTTCATTTTTTGAGAAATATTTGCACTAGTGAAATTTAGTGGTGTCTTACAAATGATCTAAACTAGTAATTGGAAAACACTAAGTTAATTGTGTATCATTTTTTTCAGTACTTGTAGTTTCTTGTTTGAATGTTTGATTAACTTACATATCATTGTTTGGCTAATTTTTATACACATTTTGAAAGTCAACTTTTCGAGATTTTAGCCAAATACATTAGTAGCAACTTTTATGGCTGAAAGCCATCCAGGGTTCTGAATGTGATTTTTGAAACAACAGAGTGCCCAAGTGTAGGTGTTTTTGAAACCTCAGACATATAGATGCAATATCCCTTCTTTACCTGTACATCATTTTCAGTCTAAACTACACAATCTAAACACCATTCAGGACAGGTAGTTTGACTAAACATCAAAGTTGAGGCCAGTAATTGATGATGGTGTCTGGATTCGAGTGTATTGTTTCATTTAGCTTTATATATGTGTATTTGCATGTGTGAAAAATCCTTCCATTTAGATATAATGCATATCAGATTTACCATTTTATAGAATATGCCGAACAATTCCCCCTCCTAGTACCTGCCAGCTACCACTACGCCAAAAGCTATAGCTCACAGCGAAGGCGCAACTTTATTTTCTTATATATACCGCTACCACATTTTCGAGAGGCAGGGTGCTGGACTTGGTCTTTCACCGGCCTCCGCCCAACAATCCCCTAGCCACCAATTGCTTGACTTGGCCCAACACTTATTAATTGATGTGTTAACATGTCGGCTGCAATTTGCAGGCTGATCTATTTCTAGTGCCCCAAATCCATGGAGCAATCAACAGATTCAATGTGGATATGGTAATTCCTTACATCCTAATTGTTATTTACTCTTAGTTTTCTCTTTATGTCCCTTGGCTTCTCCTTATCCCTTCCAACTTTTAGTATAGTCTGTCTGGCTCTTACTCTTTGCCTGTTAACTACTTGTGTTTTCTTGAAACAGACAATACTATGGCATGTTTGGTTCATGGAATAGGTCAGGAATGTAATAACATTCCTTGGAATAGACCTATTCTATCGTTTGGTTGAATCATTTTGTCATGGGAATAGCATGCCAAGGAATGAGCTATTACCTTCCCAAGGGGAATAGCCATTCCTAGGGGGGGCCTTGGTATTAACTATTCCCATGCCCTTGGGAATAGCTTTTATATCACAAATACCAAAAATATCCTCTATACATTATATAATATTTATATTTGTTTATATTTAATTAATTATAATTTTTATCCATCAATCCATAAATATATATATATATACACACACACACACACATTTTGCAGCGTTTGCAATTGACCTTTTGGAAAAAGAAAAGTATTTTCTCAAAACACCCTTGACAGTTTTATATATATATATATATATATATATATATATATATATATATATATATAATTAACTGTATAAGACTCCTTAATTATGGAGCCTTGGCTCCTATATTAAGTAGCATGCCCATGGCTAGCGGATGGGCATTGCAAGCTTGCCTAGCGGATGAGCATTGCAATTGAAATTATGGAGCCTTGAGGCTCATTTTATAGGAGCCTCAAGGCTCCATTTTTTTCTTCTCCAACCGATGTGGGATAAGTGGGAAAATAAATATAAATATAAATATGTATTTATATATAATAATAATAATAATAATAATAATTATTATTATTATTATTATTACTCTCTCTCATACACAGATGCATATACATGTATATAAATATAAATAAAAATAAATAAATAAATAAATAATATATATATATATATATATATATATATATATATATATATATATATATATATATTCAGTATATCATAATCATATTCATTATTATTATTATATATAGTATAGATTGTTGTTGTTATTATTATTATTATTATTATTATTATTATTATTATTATTATTATTATTATTATTATTATTATTATCATTATTTTGTATAAGGGTATTTATGTCTTTAAAATATATTCTATTTCTATTCCTTTAACCAACCAAACACTGGAATACAATTACTAATGTTTATTCATTCAGCCAACCAAACAACAGAATACAATTCTTATTCTATTCCTTACCTATTCCATTCCCGGTGGAATAACATTTCTATTCCCCCCAAATACATTCTGTGAACCAAACGTGCTGTGAATGACAGTAATTCCCGATGTATATTTAAATATGTTCTGTACTGAGAATGTTGAGTTTAACGGTATATGCAGAATGAATATCCCCTTCTATCTCGTATATACGAGGCGTACAAAGAGGTACCTGCTATTCAAAATGCTATGCCGGAGAAACAGCCTGATGCACCAGCTGAGGCAAGAGCTTGAGGTGATTTATCAATGTAAACGAAACTTGTGTTTAATGTTGTAATGGTTTATGATTCTGATGGAAAGTGGTATCCTGGATTCCTGGATTATCTCGAATTGATACTAAATAATCCTCAATAATGATGCATTTCTCTTCTTTTTGAATTTTATTTAGGGTGTGTTTGGTTTGCACATGGGAATCAAATACTTGTAATATTAATGGGTCTTGGTGAAAGTATTTTGCATGTTTTGTAGTAGGGTAGAATTGGAATGATTATCAATATTGATGTTTGGTTATGTATAATCTTATAATAGGAATACAGGTTTTAAAAACACCAAAATAAAAAATCAAGGCTATTAGTCGTAATAGGAATAAGAGTCAAATAGGCCACTGAACTGCACACAATAATGCAATTAGGCCACTGAACTTAAAAAACCTACAATTGGGTCCTAAACTAACCAATTTCATTCAATTTGTCCATTTCTCAGGTTTCTCAAGTTGCTAACAGTTACCCCTCCACCTAGGATGCATATGTGGCATTTAAAAAAAATTATTTTTAAATTCTTTTTTTTTTTTAACACCTTAAATTAGTTTTTTTTTAATGTTTAATAAATAAAAATTAAAATAATTTTTTTTTTTGAAAATAAAATCCAAGCCCTGTACGACTTAACAAATTATTTTATTTTCAAAAAAAATATATTAATTTTATTTATTAAACATTAAAAAAAACTGATTTAAAAATAAATTATTTTAGTTTTTATTTATTAAATATTAAAAAACTAATTTAAAAATAATTTTTTTTTAAAAAAAATGCCACATATGCATCCTATGTGGAGGGGTAACTTGTTAGCAACTTGAGAAACTTGAAAAATGGACAAATTGAATGAAATTGGTTAATTTAGGGACTCAATTGTAGGTTTTTTAAGTTCAGTGGCCTAATTGCATTCTCGTGTACAGTTCAGTGGCCTATTTGACCCTTATTCCGTCCTAATATAATGACATCCAAAGCATCAATATGAACAAAAAAATCAAAACAAAAATGTAAAAGCATTAATCCAAACATAAAAATCAGAGTTACTAATAAGATAGAATGATACATGTTTTTAGTTGGAGGGGTAATCAAATACCATAGTTGTGTTTTTAAAAGTTGTCAATTAAATACTAACTATGATTTTGATTCTCATTCTTGGGTATAAACCCATGAACCAAACATACCCTTACTATATTCTCTCTCTCTGTTTTTTTTTTTTTTTTTTTTTTTTTTTTTGGTAGAGGGGACACCCTAACTATATTCTGATATATGTATACAAGTAATACAATGTTGCCTTGTGAACAAGTGATATCACCAACGATGCCCTTCTTTAGGGTGTGTTTGGAAACCTGGAAAATGAGTTCTGGAAATCATTTTCCAAGTTTTCACTGTTTGGATGTGCCTGGAAAATCAAGTCAACGGAAATCATTTTCCGTTGACTTTGGAAAATAAGCTTGTTTTGGAGGAAAATGACTTCATCTTTTTTTTGGGGGGAAGTTATTTTCCAACTTTTACACCAACATCAAAACCACCACCAACATCATCAACACCATACCACCACTACTGCCGCCGCCGCTACCACTATACCACCGCCACCACCCCACCACCATCACACCACCACCACCAACACCATCAACACCATACCACCACCACCACCATACCACCGCAACCATCGTTACCGCCACCACCACCACCACCACCACACCACCACCATCACACCACCACCACCACCACTACCACCACCGCCGCCGCCACCACCACCACCATACTACCGCACCCACCTCGTCGCCGCCAACACCATACTACCACCACCGCCACCACCGCAACCACCGTCGCCGCCACCACCACCACCATACCACCGCTGCCGCCACCACCACCATACTACCGCCGCCACCACCACGACCATACCACGCCGCCACCACCACCACCATACCACCGCAACCACCGTTGCCGCCACCACCACACCACCACCACTGCCACCACCGTCATATCACAACCAGTTATTATTATTATTATTATTAGGAATAAGGGTCAAATAGGCCACTGAACTGCACACCAAAATGTAATTAGGCCATCGAACTCAAAAACAATGCAATTGGGTCCCTGAACTACACAAAATCATGCAATTAGGTCCAAAATGACTTGTTTACCTGAAATGCAGGTTACCAATTTTAAAAATAATTTATAAATATTTTTAAAATAAAATAAATAATTAAAATTATATAATTAAAAAAAAAAAAACGAAAACTAAAACTGCCGGAGACGAATCGTCTCCGGCAGTCTTTCGTCTCCATGGCCGGAGACGAATCTTTCGTCTCCGGCCATGGAGACGAAGAGCTTCGTCTCCCTGGCCTAGGAGACGAAGCTTCGTCTCCCTGGCCATGGAGACGAAGGCTTCGTTTCCATGGCCGGAGACGAAGCTTTCGTCTCCGGCCATGGAGACGAAGAGACCTTCGTCTCCATGGCCGGAGACGAAGAGCTTCGTCTCCGGCCATGGAGACGAAGCTGCCGGAGACGAATCGTCTCCGGCAGTTCTAGTTTTTTTTTTTTTTTTTTTTTTTTTTTTTTTTTAAATTAATTATTTTATTTTAAATTATATTTAAAATTTATTTTTAAAATTGATAACCGCCACGTCAACACAATTTCAGGTCAACAGGTCATTTTAGACCTAATTGCATGAGTTTGTGTAGTTTAGGGACCCAATTGCATTATTTTTGAGTTCGATGGCCTAATTGCACTTTAGTGTGCAGTTCAGTGGCCTATTTGACCCTTATTCCTTATTATTATTATTATTATTATTATTATTATTATTATTATTATATAACAAATAACACCACTACCACTACACCACCACCACCACCATAATATTTTTGATATATTATTAGTTATTTTTTTATTGTATTTAAAATTATTATATTTTTATATATTATTATACATGTTGTAATATTCTAAATAAAATAATTAAAATGTTTAATTATACAATTCTACTCATTTTCCAGAAAATGAACCAAACACACAAAAACAGTTTTCCAGAATGCAACCAAACACTGGAAAGGAAAATGTTTTCTGGAAAATGACTCATTTTCCAGAAAATATTTTCCAGAAGTCATTTTCCTGCTTTCCAAACGGACCCTTAAAGCTTCATCACCTCAAAATAAGTTAGAGCATTTGAATCAGTTGGGGAGATTTTGAAGAGAATGTAAGAGTGATTAGAAAAGAGAATGTGGGAAGGAGAGGAAAAAAAAAAAACCAAACCAAAAAAAAGAAAAAAAAAAAAAAGTATGTCAGGCACGCTTGAGTGCACGCGCCCGGCTGTGGCCAAACGCGCACAGCATGTGATCCCTTTTTTTTATTTATTTATTTTTTTTCCATGCTCCCCATATTTGCAGGCTTATTCTTTCTTTCCCACACTAGTTATTCACCCCATCCAAAAGAAAGCATATGACATTATCTCCACATTCTCCCCTTAGTGTGGATGCTCTTATAGCAAATTGAAGTGAGGATCCATGAAATAAAATTAAAGGCATTCATGGAATAGCTTAAGAAATCATTGCATTCCATGTAACAGAGTTGTTACGTTGTATGAACTCAACTCATAAAAAATGTTTCTTGCCATCTCTAGATTTCCACAATTAGCATACATGTCAAGAAGTGCTGTTTTGTTGATCATTATGAAAAGCCATCCACTGAGCAATGTGAAGAACAATTCAAGAAGAAACAACAATAACCAATGTTGTTTCATCACTCACCATTTCAGTGAACAACCAACCGTATTCATGCCTGCCGTTTTGGAATGATAGCAGTAGGCAAACTAATGAATTACGTGCATAGGTAAGTCTAATGGAACATCATGCCGTCAATATCATCCATGCAACGCCCTGTTTGGTAAAATGACTGTTTGCTGATTGTGTTAATTAGAGAGTATAAATAGTTGATAATATTAGCCGATTGTAGAAAAAGTGTTTGGTAAATTGGCTGTTAACTGATAGCTGTTTGGTATAATTTCTTTTCTCTAAAAGTTAATTGAAAAAGTTATTTGGAGTAGCTTTTTGAATTTTAGCCTTTTGGAGTTGCAAAAAGCTAGTTAACCAAACATTTATATTTATTGTTTTGAAAGTTTCTGGCTCTATTACATTGTAGTATGTAATACACTGAGGCTTGAACTCATAATCTTCCAAATGGAAGTCCAACCCGGGTACCATTAGACCACATAGTCCTGGTCAAACATTTATATTGACATTGTAGGGACAATGTAGCTAATATAATCAATTGATGAATTTGAATGTAAAAAATTTTTATATTGGAGAAAAATAAATACAATATAACTAATGAAATTATTTCTCTTATTTAATTTATTGATAATGAATATTTTTTTTTTAAAATAAAGCCATTGTAGACACATAATTCTAAATTAAAGAAATGCTATTAATTTAGTTAAAACATTTATATTGATATTTTAACTAAATCAAACAATCAATAGTGGTCAAATAAGCCAAAATTGACCTATATGCCAATTTTTTACCAAATAGGACCAAAGCCATATTGACTCTTCTGTTGCTCTGTGGATGCAGGGAGGGAATATCTACACAGACTTCTCCAACTAATACTCATCCACCCTGGACCACCCATCTGGAATCCTCCGTCACCCACCTTTTTAACACTTGGATGACTCAATGACTTCACCCTTTAAAATAAATTCCTCATTACTCATTATTATTATTATTATTATTATTATTATTATTATTATTATTTTCCTTCCAGAAATAGACTTTTGGGTAATATGGACTAGGAACCTGTCCGTTTCGGGCAGGCAAAGAGAAATAGAATACGCAATTATCTGCTACTTTAACACTTGAACACTATCAGCTTCACATTTCGTTGATCACTTGATCATGGTGAGCGAGATTCTGTATTTCATTCTCTTTTTTCTTTCCATTTTTGTATTTTAATGCTTTTGTTTTTAATTTGATACTTTCCGGTGGGTGCTTAGGCGGAGACAGGCGGCGGAGGAGAGTCAACCAAGCTTCAACTCTACTCCAACTGGGAGAGCTCTTGCGCTTGCCGCGTTAGGATTGCTCTCAATCTCAAAGGTCAAAGGTTTACTTCTCTCTTTATTCCAACTATTCTATCCCAATAATTTCCGTACAAAATCTAAATTAAAAATAAATCAATATATCACAGGACTGGATTACGAGTACAAAGCGGTTAACCTGCTCAAAGCCGAACATTTCAGCCCTGGTTTGTTAAATTCTTCCTATTCATCAATTTTTCTTCTCCTAATCCTGTATCTGCCCTAAATTAAATCAATGAATGAATATTTCAAACAAAAATGGACAACATAATAGTGTAGAGTTGTGCCAAGTATCTTGTGGATTGATGACATCACTGTTACCTTTCCAAATGGAAGGTCACTGGTTCGAGTCCCATCCCAATCAAGAATGTTGGCATAGTCATGTTGAGTAGATATAATGTATAGGTTTAGATTGTAGTCACCAAAACAAAATAGTGTAGAGTTGTCAATTTTGCAACATTATAATTTAAATGTGGTGTGCATGGAAATGTAGAATTTTTGAAGCTCAATCCCATGGGGTATGTGCCGGCATTGGTTGATGGAGACATTGTTATTTCAGACTCTTTTGCTATTTTGATGGTGAGATTTCGCCTTTACGCTAGTGTGGTGTTAAGTTTGGTATTCTATACGGAATAACTTGTAAGTAATCATAATGTGCAGTATTTGGAAGAAAAGTATCCACAGAATCCCTTGTTGCCGAAGGATCCTAAGTTAAAGGCTATTAATTTTCAGGTAAAATGTGGCAGTGGTTTGATATTGGTACTCATTTCAGACTACACTCTTAGAAACTGTATTGTCATAGATGCTACCCTTTTCAATGCTGAAAGTATTGCATATAGCCTTTACCAGAATATATCACAAGATCCCTTATTGCCCCCTTGGTTTGAGCCAGTCCGCTATAGGTAACCTAGGCTAGTTTACTCGTGGTCTTTTGCCGGCTAGGGTCACAAGGCGGGGTTTACCTACACCTACAAGGGTTGTGGGTTTTCCCTCGTCATCCAAAAAAATAATAATAATAATAATGAGATATACTTCCAATCAAAATATTGTGTAGACATAAAAATAATGAGTTTCATTTATGCCAATATCTTTGCATATCTGTTTTCTCTTATGTTTTTCAGTCGATTTAATTTTCTTCAATTTTCTTGTCATTTGATTATAGGCTGCGAATATTGTTTCTGCAAACATACAGCCTCTACAAAATCTAGTTATTCTTGTAAGTATAAAATTATAATTTGTGGCGATTCACTATAGGCTAATAGGCCATCTTAATACATTCAGTTTGATTTGACATGGTGTCATGTTACTTTGTCATGCAACTGTAGAAATATATTGAAGACAAAGTTGGTCCTAATGAGAAAGTTCCATGGGGCCTGACTCATATAAAAAAAGGCTTTGCTGGTAAAAGCTTTGTTCCTATTGGCTTTCTTGAAATCCTGTTAAGTGTGACTGAAGTGCTCCATTGCACTTGGTCTTTCATTTCTGATATTGGGTTTTTGTGATTTTACTCCTGATGCCAATTTTGCAGCATTGGAGAAGCTACTGAAAAGTTATGCTGGAAAGTATGCCACTGGTGATCAAATTTATCTGGTTAGTTTCTTTACTAGGATACTTTCACTTGGACCACTGAGTATCCTAACAGTAGAATGCAGACTTCTAAAATTAGAAACAGATGTCCTTCCCCCAACCCTGGGAGATTTCGATACCAAATTTTCGAGAGGCAAGGTGCTGGCCTTGGTCTTTCACTGGCCTCCGCTCCACAATCCCCTAGCCACCAATTGTTTGACTTGGCCCATCACCGGCCTCCGCCCAGCACTTATTAATTGATGTTTAACATGTTGGCTGCAATTTGCAGGCTGATCTATTTCTAGTGCCCCAAATCCATCGAGCAATCAACAGTTTCAATTTGGATATGGTAATTCCTTACATCCTAATTGTTGTTTATTCTTGGTTTTCTCTTTATGTCACTTGGCTTCTCCTTATCCCTTCCAACTTTTAGTATAGTCTGTCTGACTCTTACTCTTTGCCTGTTAACTACTTGTGTTTTCTTGAAACCGACAATACTTTGAATGACAGTAATTCCCGATGTATATTTAAATATGTTCTGTACTGAGAACGTTGAGTTTAACGGTATATGCAGAATGAATATCCCCTTCTATCTCGTATATACGAGGTGTACAAAGAGGTACCTGCTATTCAAAATGCTATGCCGGAGAAACAGCCTGATGCACCAGCTGAGGCAAGAGCTTGAGGTGATTTATCAATGAAGGAAACTAAAGAGAGAATCTATTCTACAATGAAAACTGGAGTGGAAGCCCTTTTTTCTTATTCTCAATTTCTGTATACAACACTAACACAACACATATATACAAGATGGAAGCATAGTTATTACTCATGGCTATTCACATACCTGCCTATTCATATCTAACACTCCCCCTCAAGCTGAGATATTAATCATGCCCAGCTTGTTACAAATATATTTAACCATGTCCCTACTGAGCCCTTTAGTGAACAAATCAGCTAGTTGATTGCCGCTACACACATGAGCCATAAAATCAGTCCTTGTTGAGCCTTTTCACACACGAAATGACAATCTACCTCATTATGCTTTGTCCGCTCATGGAACACTGAATTATTCGAAATATGTATAGCCGCTTAATTATCACAACATAGACTTATGGGCTTCATTACCTCCACACCAACCTCTCTCAAAATATTGTGTACCCAAGTTATCTCACATGTCACATAGGCCATTGCCCTATATTCAGATTCTGCACTTGGCTGAGCCACAACAGTTTGTTTCTTGCTTTTCCAAGAAACCAAATTACCTCCTACAAACACACAATACCCTGTTGTAGACCTCCTGTCACTCAATGAGCCTGCCCAATCAGGATCAGAAAATACCTCAACTCTCATATGTCCACGATTAGCATATAGAATACCTTTCCCGGGTGCATTCTTGAGATACTTTAAAATTCGAACTGCTGTTTCCCAATGAGTTTGCGTAGGTGTTTGCATGAACTAACTTACCACACTTACTGGAAAAGCAATATCTGAACGTGTAATGGCGAGATAGTTCAATTTCCCCACCAACTTCCTATATCTCTCGGGAGAGTCAAGGGCCTCCCCCTCACCAGCTACAAGTCTAACACCATGCTCGATAGGTGTCTCACATGGTTTTGATCCCAACAACCCAGTATCATCAAGCAAGTCTAGCACGTATTTCCTTTGAGAAAGAAATATTCCTTTCCGAGAACGAGCAACTTCAATTCCTAGAAAATACTTCAGCACCCCCAAATCTTTTGTATGAAACTTTTCATTGAGGAAAGATTTAAGAGCTTCAATCCCTCCTGCATCACTTCCTGTGATTACTATATCATCAACATAAACAATCAAGAGAATGCAACAACCGTTAGTATGCTTGAAAAAGACAGTATGATCACACATACTCCTCTGCATACCAAACTCAATAATCACACTACTAAACCCCCAAACCAAGCTCGTGGAGATTGCTTCAGGCCATATAGAGACTTTTTCAGTTTACATACTTTCCCAGACTCCCTCTAGCAACAAACCCAGGAATTGCTCCATGTAAACTTCCTCAACCAATTCACCATGCAAGAATGTGTTTTTGACATCTAACTGATACAAATGCCAATGATTAGAAGCAGCTAAGGAAATAAAGATACGAAATAAAGCTAGCTTGGCTACAGGAGAGAAGGTTTTTGTGTAATCAACACTATAAGTCTGTGTATACCCCTTTGCTACTAGACGAGCTTTAAGTCTAGCCACAGACCCATCAATATTCACTTTCACAACATAAACCCACTTGCAACCAACTGCAGTCTTACCGCCCGGGAGGGGTACCAAATCCCAAGTATGATTGTCCTTTAGGGCAGCCATCTCCTCCTCCATTGCACGTCTCCACCCATCATGAGCTATAGCCTGACTCAAAGTATTTGGAACTGACACAGAATCTAAACGTGATACAAAAGTGCGAGATGATATTGACAAATGATCATAAGACACAAAAGAGGAAATAGGGTGTTGACCAAAGAATAAGGAATTTGACCTTGAAGGACAGATGAAGGCATCCGATTGATAAGAAAACATGCAGTATGAACATCATCAGACCAAAAAACCTTAGGTACTTTTATTTGAAACAACATTGCCCGAGCTACTTCTAACAAATGACGGTTTTTCCTTTCTGCCACTCCATTTTGTTGAGGGGTATACGCACACGAGAACTAATGAATTATTCCATTTTGGCTCATATAAGTGGAAAAAGGTTTGGAGAAATACTCTTGTGCATTGTCACTCCGCACATACTTAATAGCTTTATCCCTCACCACAGAAATTACAAAAAATAGTAAACAATTCATCTCTAGATTTCATAAGATATAACCATGTACATCTAGAGAAATCGTCCACAATTGTTACGAAGTATCTAAACCCATTTTTCCCTGTGACACGACACAGACCCCATATATCAGAGTGAACAAGTTCAAATATAGATTGTGCTCTATTATTGACACGAGGAGGGTAGAAAACCCGACAATGTTTAGCAAACTCACATGACTCACACTGCAGAGTAGACAATGATTTTAAACCAGGAAAGCGCTCATTTAGGACTAAAAGTGATGAGTGACCATACCGACAGTGTAGATGGAAAGGAGAGGTATTGCTCAACTTGGCCTTGGATGGATATGTAGACTGCTCCAATACGTATAGTCCTCCGACTTCCTTCCCCTTACCAATAATCTTCTTCGTCAAAAGATCTTGGAATAAACAATAATCGGGGAAAAATGAGACAGAACAATTCAAATTCCGTGTGATTTGGCTAATAGAAAGCAAATTAAAGGGAAACTTTGGAAGATACAATATGGATGATAGGGGTAATGATGAGGTTGCAACAACACTACCCACCAAAACTGAAACAGAAGACCCATCTGATAGAGTAGGGAACATATGTGGAGAGAACATTAGAATTACCTGTCATATGGTCACTAGCCCCGGAGTCAATAACCCACTGTGTAGATGAAGAAGACACACATGCAACAAGATTACCTGTTTGGACAAAGGTTGCAGAAAAAGACGGTTGATTGGGTGGAAACTGGGATGGAGACTGCATAGAAGAAGAACGTCCTCGATGGCGACCACCTCCACCTCTACTATTGACCTATTGTACCCTTCGTTAGTATACTTCCCTTGTGACACAAACACACTTCCTTCATCATTGCTTCCTTGTGATATAAAAACACTCTTCTCGGGAGGTTCACTAGTACTTACTGCTGCATTATGTATCTGGGAGAATACTTGGTCCAACGATCCTAACTCCTTGTTTCCCAGCAATTGTAACCTAAGAATCTTATATTCTTTGTCAAGTCCAAAAATTCAACTAAAGGCAATTAATTGATCACATTGTTTTTTCATTATCTTCACATCAGTTGTAATAAGCATTGCACTACACAAAGCTTCACTTAAACTTTTCTGGGGATACAAGTACTGACCTGGATTTCACAATATTATTCTTTCTTGTCACAGTAGTACTGGTCTATGATAATAGGATAATCTGATTCTTGAGACATTATTCTCTCATAAAGTATGTTCCTAACTTACCCACTGCCGCCCTGCAACGCAGATTATATAAACAACACATCAAATTATTTGAGCCTAATTCTAATTAGGTTTAATTTAGGTAACATATATTATAAGAGTTAATACCATCTAAGGTCCTCTAAGTATAGTGATTTTGCCACTTTTAATCTTAACTTTTAAATTTATCACTTATGGTCCTTTGACTTTCAAATTGTTACTATTCGTAGTCCAAGCTAACAATCTATGGTTCTTCAACTTTTAAAATTTAACCAGTCGCGGACTGACTCGCGGTCCTCCGGGAAGTGAAAGGACCATGGGTGGTTAAATTTTTTATAGTTGAAGGACCATGGATGGTAAAAATTTGATAGTTGAAAAACTATGTGTGGTTAACTTGGACCACGGATGGTACAATTTAAAAGTTGATGGACCACGGATGGTACAATTTGAAAGTTGATGGACCACGGATGATATGATAAATTTGAAAGTGTAAGACTAAACGTGGCAAAACCACTATATTCGGAGGACTTGGTATTAGCTCTATATTGTAAAGTATTAATCTCAAACTCAATGAAACTTGTTACAGGATCTATATAAAACGATTAAATTTGTAAAAGTTGGAACTGTAAAAACTGGTGGCATCTTGCAACCTTATACAATTTATGAACGGTTGTTAGTCCAAATCAAGAAGATTATATTAATAGACCGATTTTGTTAAAAGTCAAATTTATAATTTTGTAATTATCATGTCAACAACGATTATCTCGTTTATTTTGAACATTGTTTTAATCATCCTCAACACTTGATTAGATAATGTTAATCTTGACCTGAATCAAATATATATCATATAATAATGCATGAATTGAAGATTACCTAGCACCATTTGTAGCTCGTCTGAATACAATATCCCTAACTTCAAGATTTTCAACTTTGTGAATGGCTCCATTTTTGCCTCAAACTCCCAATAATGCTGCAGCAATATAATGAGACTATATATATATATATATATATATATATATATATATATATATATATATATATCATTCAATTTTGTTTACTAATATTATTTTTTCACGCGCATTGATGCTCAATGTTTATTTTTTAATAAGTACTTCAAAATAAATCAATGCAAGATTATATATGAGATGTTCATGCATAAGTAATTGAATGTTAAATTTATTTATTTAAATCGGTAATTCAAAATATATGAATGGAAGATAATATATGAGAGATTAATTAAAATTATTAAAATAAATATTTGCAACTTTAATTTATAAAAAAAGATAGTCTAAATACTTACTCTAAAAACGATACTCTAAATAAATATTACTTTCGATCTGAATTTCTTTAAGCCTTCGTAATTGTCTTTTTGGTAGCATTGTCATTGTCTTCATCTTCAGTACTTGTGTTCTTCTTTTTTATTAGTAGTGTGTGTCATGTGCAATTGGGTTACTGGTGGTAGCATAGAGGGCAACGCCTTGCAATGAGATTATAGTGTAGGAAGTTGTGGATTTGCCTTGTTGTGTATATGACTGAGATCTTAGTTGTGCTATGAACTCTTGATCTTGCAAGCACTTGTTGATATTTGACAGTGGTAGTTTTTTCCCTATATATTTCATCATGTGTAGGTCATTATGGTATTAATATTTTGTCTGTATTTCTATCATAGTACAATTGTGCATTAATTTGCAAATATTGTAATATTATTTTTTTTTTCAAACAAAATTGTTCTTATATCATTATCAGACATGTGCGACCTAACTACAAAGTTGTAGATCAGAAATACAACTACACGTGGATTCTAAACGGTAGGACTATTGTCCAAAGAATTATGAGATCAGAATGATGTGTAAATTTATTCAATAAGAGCCATTGGGGTGTCGAAATTCTCATAATTCCTTGGACAATGGTCATACCGTTTAGAATCCATGTATAGTTGTATTTCTGATCTACAACTTTGTAGTTAGGTCGCACATGTCTGACAATGATATAAGAATAATTTTGTTTGAAAAAAATAATATTACAATATTTGTAAATTAATGTACAGTTGTACCATGATAGAAATACAGATAAAAAAATATTAATACCATAATGACCTACACATGATGAAATATGTAGGGGAAAAACTACCACTGCCAAATATCAACAAGTGCATGCAAGATCAAGAGTTCATAGTACAACTAAGATCTCAGTCATATACACAATAAGGCAAATCCACAACTTCCTACACTATAATCTCATTGCAAGACGTTGCTTTCTATACTATCATCAATAACCCAATTGCAAATGACACACTACCAATAAAAAAGATGAACACAAGTACTGAAGATGAAGACAATAACAATGCTACCAAAAAGAGAATTACGAAAACTTAAAGAAATTCAAATCGAAAGAAGTATTTATTTAGAGTATCGTTTTTAGAGTTAAGTATTTAAACTAGCTTTTTGCAAATTAAAGTTACAAGCATTTATTGTAATAACAATTATAATCAATCTTTTTTATATTATCTTGCATTCATATACTTTGAATTACCAATTTAAATAAATAAATTCAAAATTCAATTATCTATGCATGAACATCTCCTATATTGGACATAATTTTAATATATTTTAAATTTCTTACTTAAAAATAAATATTGGACATAATTTTATTTGCACAATGCGTGCGAAAAACTAGTAAAAAACACAAACCTCAACATTGATACCCCTGCGAGTTGCAAGGGCCATCTAATTGCAAGGGTTGGACCAAGAATATAATGTCATGCCTTGCGGAACGTGCATGCTTAGGATTGTAGGATCCAATTGAACAAGTTAATTCCCACTCTTTCTTCAAAGCTTGTCCATAGAAATTTATAATCACACAAATATTATACAAAACATTTACGCACTTAAAATACAATAATGTAGAAAAAAAAAAAAAAAAAAACATTAGAGTTACATTACATAGGTATCGTCGATTAGGCCATCTCCATCTGCACCATAATCAACAACGTTGAATATGCGTTGACCATTAGAAGAGGACATTAAAATCAAAGACAAAGCAATAAAGAAGGAGAAGAAGCTATTCGTAGTCGTAACCCAATTATCACATTATATACTATTAGTATGGTACTCCGTAGTATACTTTTTGATTAGGCATACGTGACTATTAGCCTAGTCCTTGTAAAATATTGTTTGTTCATAATTACTCATAAATTTGGTGCGATTCAAACTCTTTTCTCCTTATTCTTCCCAAACTCTTTTCTACTTATTATTATTAGGAATAAGGGTCAAATAGGCCACTCGACTCCACACCAAAATATAATTAGGTCATCGAACCCAAAAAAAAAAAAAAAAAAAAAAATTGGATCCGAACAACACAAACTCATGCAATTCAACCTAAAATGACTTGTTTTACCTGAAAATATGTTGACATGATGGTTACCGAATTTAAAAATAATATTTTAAAATAATTTTAAATAAAATAAATATTAAAAAAAAAAACCCGCCAAAGACGAAAGTACCTTCTTGGCTTATTCGACCCTTATTCCTTAATAATAATAATAATAATAATAATAATAATAATAATAATAATAATAATAATAATAAAGGCAGAAGTGTCAAATAGGTTCATTTACTACTTCAAAGTGTTCAATTCCCCCCATCATCTAAAATATATGCTAATCCGTCACACGTACCTTATAAATTTGTTCAATTAGTCTTTTTTGCAAGTTACCATTCGGTTGCCTATCCAGTTGGTTGAGCCTATCCAGCTGGTTGACGTGGAAAATATATTTAATAACATGAAATTAATTTGCTAGAAAACTAAAATAAATTTAATGACGACGAACACATATCATCCCAATCAACCTCCACCACTGCCTTCATCAATTGCATATCATCCTAGTCCGGAATCGATGCCAGCAGCGCACAGCGCCTCAGAGCCTATTAGAATGCAAATCAAGCACTCTCAGCTGCTGCAAATTCCAAATTCCGCTCGGAAAGCCACCAGAAAAATTGTTACTAGACAAGTTTAGATAATTCAAACCTCAAAGATCATTAAGGCGGGGCGATGACCGACCTGTAGAACCGGTTCCAGAAAAGATCCAAGTACTAGAGGGAGATCATGTAACCTATGGCAGGCACGACCCAACCCATGAATAATTACACGAAAGGCTAAGGTTTCTGAGCTGCTTAAGCCCAGTGAGCGTGGAGAACCTCAAGTCACTGGCTAAGTCGAGGCGGTCAGGGACAACGGCGGAGACGGAACCGGAGGCGGAGTCACAAACGACGCCATAAAACATGTCGGGGCACGAGGAGATATCGGAGAGAAGGGTGAGGCTCCATGAGCCCAAGATTTTCCCCAGTGGATTCGATTTTATCCCCTTCCTGAACTCCTAGAGTGAACGGACTTCCTCCTCGGCGGCAAATGCGCAGCAGAAACAGCAAAAGATGAGAAGATTTCACAGCAGCAAAGACATCAAAAGATCAGAATTTGGGAATAAATTTTAGGAAAATCAGGTGTTAAATTCCTTATTTAGATTTCACCCAAACATTTTTTTTGTTAATTTTTATGCGAGGTAAACAATTCCACCTAAGTGTAACTCGGCCACGTCACAAAAAACGAGTGGTAACCTGCAAAAAAGTCTAATTGAACAAATTTATAAGGTAAATGTACCTGATTAGCATATATTTTAAATGATGGAAAATTGAACACTTCGAAGTAATAGATGGGCCTATTTGACACTTCTTCGCCTGTAATAAAACATTGAGGTTATTTAAAAAAAAAAAAAAAAAAACAAAAACATTGAGGTTTAACATTGAAGGCCCTAAATTTCTAAATCTAAAATCAATGCCACAGTGACACACCTCCTCCGCCTCCCTGCGACCTCCTCCACCTCCCCTGCGACTCTGCGAGTAACGAACGGCGAGCAGCCGACGGGGACTCATTGCTCAGTATGCTGGAGCTGGATTCCTTCTCTGGTTTCTGGTGTCCTGTGAAATATTCATGTTTTGTGTAATAATCTTTCGTGTGGTTGTTTTCCAGGGGAAAAACTTAGAAGTTCGCTTCTGGGTATTCAATAGCTCTGCGCCCACCCTTCTGGTTCACTAAAGCCACATTTCAAAGGTAATCTTCACAAATCTTGTTTCCCCAGGTTTAAATTGGTTTTTTGTACGATGATGTTCTCACTTCTCAGTGTTTGAATGGTAATTTATAGGCATTTGTTGACTTGAACCCTACTCATATGTAATATGAGCAAGGCTTTTCCCCCTAAAGAATCACTCTCTACTTGTTACTGCTATTCAACTAGTTGATTTAATGTTAAATGGATTGGGCAAGTGGATATGGGACTTTTTGCCATTTCTTTACTTGTATTTCCTGTGTACTAAGACTACTAATGATCTCTTGTCCAAATATTTCTTCTATGGTTCTGTTTTGTGTGCTTGTAAAAAGTAAGAAATGAATTTGGTAACATGTTGGAATCAACTTTTGTAATGATCCTTGTTTGGTTGGAATCGACTTATATTGTATTTTGAACTCTAAATTTTATCTAGTTTTTATTATTTATGTTGGGATATATCAATTTATAATTTTAGTAGTAGCATTTTGCAGTCACAAATCAAATTCAACCTCAAACTCGAGCTCAAATCGAGCCATTGAACCTATCTCGAGCCATATGAAAATTAGCGAGCTAAACTCGAGCTTAAATTTTAAAGCTCAAGCCACTGTAAAATCATCGAACTCAAGCCAGCCTTGGTTGGAGCTCGCCTTGGCTCATTTGCACCCCTAGTTTGGAACATGAAGTCATTGTCTTAAAGATATGAACATAAGTTCTTGTTTGTTACTTATTTTAAGATACACTTTTTTCTTAACTGCAGTTGACAGATCTTGAAGTTTCTACTACATTTATCAGGTTTGTGTTGCTGCATCCGAGACTGGATTGTGGTTCAATATGGTGTGCGAGAGTGGTAAACAAACAAACCAACCGCTAGAAAATATGTGTTGTTTCCTCCGAAAGTGCATTTTTTCAGTACTTTCTGTTGGTCCTATTCCTAACCATGTTGCATTTATAATGGATGGAAATCGAAGATATGCTAAGAAGCAGACTTTGGAAGAGGGGAATGGGCATAGGGCTGGTTTTTCTGCTCTTATGAATATGCTAAAATATTGTTTCGAGCTCGGTGTGAAGTACATAACTGTTTATGCCTTTAGTATTGATAACTTCAAAAGGCGCCCTGAAGAAGTTGGATCCCTTATGCACTTGATGCAGGAAAAGATTGAAGAGATGATTAAAGAGCAAAGCATAGTGAACCGCTATGGAATCCGAGTTTATTTTCAGGGGAACCTAAAACTTTTGAGTGACCCGGTTAGGTCAGCAGCAGAGAGGGCTATGGCAGCAACCGCTGGTAACTCAAATGCCACTCTATCGATCTGTGTTGCCTACACATCAACGGATGAGATTGTACATGCTGTTGAGCAATCATGTGAAGAAAAATGGAAGGAAATCAGCAAAAGAAATCAAAATTCTGCTCAAAATGATATAACAGAACGTTTGAATGGAAATGATAAGATTGAGAATCTTATTGGCTCAACAGATATTGATAGACATATGTATATGGCTGTTGTTCCCGATCCTGATATCATAATACGTACCTCTGGAGAAACTCGGTTAAGCAATTTCCTACTATGGCAGAGTGCAAAGTGTCTTCTTTACTCTCCCACCGCCCTTTGGCCAGAAATCGGTTTCAGGCATTTGGTTTGGGCAATTTTGGATTTCCAAAGGAACTACTCCTACCTTAAGGGGAAAGAGAAGGAAACTTAACGGTTTTTAGGCAGGGTAAGTTCATTCAGGGGTCATCGTCATTGTAGAATGAGATTTCCTCTACAAAGATGCAAGTACGGGTTGGGATTTGTTTTTGGTGATCTCGCCTTGGGTTAACACGATGACGATAGATACATTCACACAGAACTGGATGTAAGTATAAGCTATCTGGAGTACTTACTGTTCTATAGCCAATCATTATATATTTATATGCATCTCCCACTATATCTAAACATAGAATGTGTTGTATCATGTATGAATATGCATTTCATCTTTGTTTACACTTAGATTGCCTGTCCAGCATTCTGTATTTCTGTTTATCTGCCTCGTGGCCTCCGAACTCCATCTTCCATGGTTTGGTTCTACTTCTGGAGCTGGAGATATTTCATCAGATTTTATGTGAGTATTTTTGTATGTTAAAAGTAATCAATGCTCTTTTTTGAATTGACTTGACCTGTAAACTATATTTAGGAAAAAAAATTGGCATGTCCCATTGTCCCTTTTTATTTTTTATTTTATAAACAGCTCTAGGGATATATGTTACCCTGTAATTCTTGTGTGAGGGGCAGTGTAATTCTTGTGTGAGGGGCAGTGTAATTCTTGGTCTAAGGGGCAGAGCTTATTTTATAGAGCTTATAGCTTATTTTAAGCTACAAATAAGTTATGAGTTTTGTTTGGTAAAATATGGAGAGCTTACAATAATAGCTTATTTTGAAAAGTTTTTCAAAATAAACTCTCTTGGCTTTTTAACTTTCTTTTCTTTTTTTTTTCTTTATTAATTTACAAAAATGACACTATTTATCCTTCATCAATCAAAATCCTAATATCTTTGATTCTTTGGGCTGAAAAAATTTGAGAAAGTATAGCTGTATAGAACAAATACTATCTTGTAAAAATTACGAGTATTTAAAAAAATGATATTTACATGTGATGTAGATTTGAACGAGTTTGAAATTTTTTGGAAAAATGTTCAAATTGGCCATCGAATTGAACAAAAAATGCAATTAGGCCATTGAACTCAAAAAAATGTGCAATTAGATCCCTCAAGTTGTCAAATCTGTTCAATTATATCAAATAGTAGGTTAATCCTTCCCTCAACAGGTTATTATGCAATGTGGTGCCTACGTGGATATTAAATTAAACATATTTTTAATTATATTTTAAAATTAAACATTATTAATTTTATTATTAGTCTCTCAAAGTCTTCAACTTACAAGCATCTTTTTCCCAAAATCTCCAATCGCCCAAATTTCTCATTTTTTGTTTGCAATAACGAGCATGTGAATCATTTTATGCCTGCAACGCAACCTGCAAACCGTGTGAGCGAGCAACAAGTGAAATAATGTTCAATTTAAAAACATAATTTAAATAGGTTCGTCGCTTATATTCTATTTTATGTATTCTAGTTTGCAGGTTCTAGAGATTTTGGAGAAAACATGTCTTCAATTTGGGGATTTGGGAAAACGGTGCCACGTGACATGGTAATTTGTTGAGGAAAGGATCAACATGTTATTTGGTATAATTGATAGATATGACTACTTGAGGGATCTAATTGCACATTTTTTAAAGTTTTATGACTTAATTACATTTTTGTGTTTAGTTTGATGACCAATTTGAACATTTTTTCAAAACTTTTATGTACTAATTGAAGATACAGTAGAAGTGTGAGAGGTGAATCCTCAAAACAGTTGTTATACCATGAACCAGGGTCTACCTTGCAAGGTGGATCCTAGTCTTAAATTGTGTATTTTTAGTATTGGAATTATGAACTTCAAGAATATAAATTGTGTTTCTAAGTTTTGAAAATTTGTGAATACAATATAATGTTGTCACAAATTGTGAATTTTTAAAAGATAAATTATGAACATTTAATATTAAATTGTGTATCTTGGATTTGGGTCCACTAATAATTAGGGATGACAATGGGTCGGGTGTGGGTCGGGGAAGGCTACTACATCCATCACCCGACCCACCATATATTTTCTCCACCCACCCCCACCCCCAACCCGCATCGGGTGGAATTTTTCAAAACCCACCCCCACCCCCATCGGGTGCGGGTACCCACCACTTATCATTTTATTTTTTTTTTCAAAAAAAAATATTTAAATTACTTACACATAATAAAATAATAAAATTCATTAGTGATACTAAAACATAAAATAATAGAAATATTTAAATATAATAACTAAATTGTTAATTTTTAAAAATAAACTTAGTAGTTTAGATATAAAAATAGTAAAATGATACATGAAGTTATATAAACTTTTATAAATAACTACATACTAGTACTTATTTTACTATTTTATATATATATATATATATATATATATATATATATATATATATATATATATACACACACAAAAGGTGGGTCGGGTGGGGTTCTAAGTGGGTTTTGTACATAAAACTCGAATCCAACCCGACCCACTGTGGATTTACTTGTTTAAGATCCATCCCCGACTCACCGCCCACTATCACCCAAAAGAACCCGATTCATGCGGAATGGATTTAGGTGAACATCCGCGGGGCGGATTGAAATTGCCATCCCTTAGTAATAATTTGCCCCTCAATGACCATTGGAAAGACTAGTGATGAAATCCAAGCCCAACACCAACACAGTTACACAGGGCTAACTAACATGAGAATTCAAGAATTTTAGTTATACTTTTTAGAGTTAATGCCATTTTTGGTCCTAGACTTATTAGGGTGTCGACAATTTTCATCCTCCATAATTAAAATTGCCAGTTAATAGCCACTGTTATTGGTCGTTGGACACTTTTGGTCCTCCGTCAATGAATCCGTCACTTGACCGTGAAATTGAAGGACAAAATTGTCTTTTTATGTGGTCTTCTTCTAATCCTGACAAAAAGAACAGAGTTGTTGATGGGACTAAGCTAGCTAAATCTAATTCACACGAACAGAGTATTCATATAATCATATCTAACAAACATAAACACAAAAAGAAAAAAAAATACAGATTCATATACTGACATAAAAACAAAAATAGATCAATATTAGAATATTTCTTTAAATGACAATATAATCAAAAAGTATTTCCTTTAGATAAGCCATAGAAGTCATGGGAAACTTTGAATTAACTACATCACAGATAAATCAGCTATGAACTCAAATTCATACATCACCAGATTGACTCCTATACATACAAGCATATTCCAAAACTTAATGCACACATTCTGAAATTTAACCACAGCCTGGTTCATTAAAATTATAATGTCAAGGTATGCACTATGCAGAATATAGTATCCTAGTATAAATGACTAGTATCCATATGCAATTCATGGAAGTAATATTCAAGAAAAAAAAAAAAAAACTTACCAAGCAGAGTAATTAACGATCGACAATAACCTGCATTTTACTGACTATCTGTTCAATAAACATCCAAGCAAAACACATATAAATGCCTCAAATATACCTGTAAATGATTCATCATTGTTTCGATTGATGCAGTTCTATCAGCTCCTATTTCATAAGATCTGATACTGAAATTTTGACGAAAAACAAAACCATCTTCAAGACTTCAACAATTCTTCCCAAACCAAATGGATCAATGAGCATGTCAGGGCACTTCGGCTTACAATCTAGCATCATCCACTGCTTCTCAGCAGCTAAGAAAATAGTTGTTATAGCTGAAAGAAACATGTTCCAATCGTGCAGCTGTCTGTCAATTGGACAATTCTGCGAGAGGAGGGAGATTGAGGTCGACGGCTTTCCCCAGCGAATTCGACTCAGAACAGTCGAAATCAATGAGAAGAATCGAAGTCGATATGAACACTAGAACTCCTAAATTCTGAATTCAACCCTCAAATTATGAATCCTTAAAAATCTAAATTCCTAAGTCTTAAAATCTAAATTCTAAAATCCCTAAATCCCTAGCGACCAGAATAAGATTGAGCGACTCGCCAAACACTCCGACGACGCTGCGAATCTACGAATTTGGGTAAGTCTTCTTCGTTGAAATCTATGGAATGCTCCCTCCCTCCATCGTCGATTTTCTTTCTCTGCGAAACTTCGCCGTGAACAATAATGAAATCTGAGCATGTCGAGACGATGGTTCAACACCTCTGCTTACCCACGCGGATTGTAGTAGTAAAGCGGACGTCCCACGGGAAGACGCAAGGAAAATGGAATAGCGACAATTTTGCCCGGAGTAGGAGAGGCGGCGGGGAGGATTGAGGACCCGGAGCCGGCGGACTATCATCATAATTAAAATAAGAAGAACGAGTAAAAAGACAATTTTGCCCTTCAATTTCAAGGTCAAGAGACGGATTCATTGACCTCCGGAGGACTAAAAGTGTCCAGCGACCAATAACGGTGGCTACTAAATGGCAATTTTAATGATGAAGGATGAAAATTGTCGACACCCTAATAAGTCTAGGACCAAAAATGGAATTAACTCTACTTTTTAACTATTGTAAATATAATACATATTTAAAAAAAAGGAACCATGATATACATTTGACAACAAAATATATGCAAATTTTATGTTATGAGATAACTTATCTTACTAATTTTATTTAAAAAAAAAATTCTATCAATTCTTATTAATAAAAATATAGCAAACTCTATGAAATCAATAACTAATTTAACTCTTTAATTTAAAAAATATCTTTCCACAAATTTCAATACTACAAAATAAAGCAAATACTATTACTATATATATTTTTTAAATTAGACACTTTGAATTTTAAAACTTATTTTATCTATTTCTTATTAGTTTCTTTAATATGTATTTCAATATAGTTGTTATTCTCATGTTTGGGCAAATACATTGATTATTCATTTTCGCACAACGTGGGTGCTATGGCTAGTTGCATTATAAGAGGAGATCCTATTGTATATATCTTTAGAATTGATTTTTATAGCTGCTTTGATACATCTTTTATTTAGTTGACTTAAAAAAAAAAAAAAAAACTATTGTAGAATAAATGTTCTATTACAAGGGAAGGGGAATATCCATATGCCATATATACAAGCTACTACACCATAATTGCCTCCAAGATTCGAACCCTATCATCTCTCACATGGGGAGCAACTTGGCTACAAGTTCCTTGGTATTAAAGAATAAATGTAACAACATAATTTTAAACACATTATTTTTGACCATTTCCCCCTTTCCTAGCATTATAAATAAGAGGAATAATATTTACATCCTCCCAAATGCTCTGTCGGGTAGGGGTGTGGGGGCCCTTAGGGTTGGGGTTCAACCTTTTGGAAGAATAAATAAGAGAAATAAGGGTCAAATAGGTCATCGAACTGTACACAATAATGCAATTAGGTCACTGAACTCAAAAAAGCTACAATTGAGTCCCTAAATTAACATATTTCAAACAATTTCTCCAATTTACAGATTTTCAACCTTTATAACAAGTCACCAAATTTAAAATATTTTTTTAAATAATTAATTAAAATAAACTAAAATAAATTTTAGAAAAAAAAAAAAAAAACATCTTCTCATTGTC